GGAGGCAGAGGAATTCAAATGGAGATTGAGGCTAGGGTGGGAGCAATGCTCATATTAGAAGGTGCTAGGAGCTGGGTGCCTAGAAGAAGAATAAAGAGCCTTTCTCCCTTATGAGTAAGCTTTATAGATCAATCTTCACCTCTTTCTCCTGGGCCCTCTACTGGTCTTCTTTGCTTCTCCCATTTTTAACATTCTGACTCAAAGAGAAAGAATCAAGTGGCCTTAGAGAATTTGGCACTTTGATTCTCATCAGAAGTCCCTCCTGCACTATGCTCTTGATTCCATCATTGACACACAGAAATACTCGTTCTCCAAAGGTAGAATGAAAGGCAGAGATCATGGGCTCTCCCCAGAGCAAGCGTTCTCACCTTGGTTTACCCATTAGAATCAGATGGGGAACTGAGAAAAAAATCTCAGTCACCAGGCAGCATCTCCAAGCCAATTAAATAAGAATCTTGGGTGTGAGACCTAGACATCAGTGTAATTTAAAACTCCCTAAATGATTCTAATGTACAGTCAAGGCTGACCACAGAGCCCTTGGAGACTAAGCATCTCTTCTTAAGCCCGGCTGTACATTAGAATCACTGGAGGGACTTGAAAAGCTACTGTTGCCTGGGACCCACCCCAGATCAATTAAATTCAGAGTCTCTGGGGATTGCAGCCCAGGTTATCAGTATGTTTTTAAGCTTCCTGGGGGTGATCCTTTTTGTATGTGGTAAACTATATGTAACGTAAAATTTACCATTTTAACCACTTTTAAGTGTACAATTCAGTGGCATTAAGTACATTCACAATGTTCTCCAACCACTGCCACTACACGTTTCCAGAACTTTTTCATCATCCCAAACAGAAACTGCCTCCGTTAAACAACAACTCCCCATTCTCCTCTCCCTCCAGGCCCTAGTAACTTCTATTCTACTTTTTGTACGTAGAATGAATTTGTGTCTTTTAGGTACCTCATATAAGTGGCATCAAACAGTATTTATCCTTTTGTGAATGGTTCATTTCACTTAGCATAATGCTTTCTAGGTTCATCCATGTTGTAGCATGTGTGAGAACTTCCTTTTGAAGGGTGAAGAATATTCCATTGTATGTATATAGCATATTTTGTTTACCCACTCATTGGATGATGGACATTTGGGCTGCTTTCACCCTTTGGGCATTGTGAATAATGCTGCTGTGAACATTGGTGTACAAGGATCTGTTTGAGTCCCTGCTTTCAATTTTTTGGGGTATGCAAAAATCCCAGAAGTGGGATTGCTAGATCATATGGTAATTCTATGTTTAACTTTTTGTTCCAGTTTCACTGAGATATAATTGACGTACAGCACTGTATAAGTTTAGAGAGTACAGCATAATGACTTGACTTACATATATTTTGAAATGATTATCACAGTAAGTTTAGTTAATATCCATCATTTCATATAGATACCAAACAAAAAAAAATACAGAACGCTTCAGATGAATTTGCATATCATCCTTGTGCAGGGGCCATGCTAATCTTCTCCGTATGTTCGAAATTTTAGTATATGTGCTACCAAAGCATATTTAACTTTTTTGTGTGTGTGTGAGGAAGACTGGCCCTGACCTAACATCTGCTGCCAATCCTCCCTTTTTGGTTTGAGGAAGACTGTCCCTGACCTAACATCCATGCCAGCCTTCCTCTATTTTGTATGTGGGATGCCTCCACAGCACGGCTTGATGAGCAGTGCATAGGTCTCTGCCCAGGATCTGAAAAGGTGAACCCTGGGCCACCAAAGTGGAGCACACAAACTTAACCAGTATGTCACTGTCACCAGGCCAGCCCCTGAATGTTTAACTTTATGGTGAGCCTGCCATATAGCCTCATAGGAGTCTTACGTGCAGTCAAAGATGAGGGACACTACTGTGGCCAGCATCCCTCTTACATTAATAGAGTACTGATTGGTAGTTGGTAAACATTATTGAATGACTTTCTTCATAAATTGCACTGAAGCCCAATGCTGTCGTTATTGCCACAAAGTCAAAAGACTATTGGGTGGATTAATATAGTTAGTACCCTTTTGAAAAAGCCAACAAAGAGTCTCATGGCCATGAGAAATATCACCTCAACTGCAGTTCCTACCTTCAGGTGAAATGTGTCCCCAGTGATTTGTTAGTATTGATCTTTCAAGTATCAGAGTTTCTGAATGATTTGCTTTGTAGATAACAAGTTAGACCTGATTTAAGACTTTTCCTATCATAATGCCATATCTATCATGACACCTACTATTATTCCTATCATAATGCTAGTGCTCAGATATGTTTTCTTGAACAGGAAGGAAAGCTGACGATCTCTGTGTGAGGGTCTTGCACTTAAGAATGTCTTCCATCTCAGAAAGCATTGCTAAACTCTCCACTGACAGCCTCATGGGAGTTCCCTTGCATGCAAGGAATTTTTTTCCTCTTGCTCCTCCACACGGTACTTTCTCCTCAGTATGTTCACACTTCCTTCTTGCTGCCAAGAGAGTACTCACCACTCCGTTTCCTTGCCTCAAGCAGAGATTGGATTTAGTCAACCTTGTGCTCGAAGCACTGTAAGGAAAACCTGACAAAGACTGAATTGTGGGTCTCTGACTCCTCATCTTTCTGGGTTATCTATGCCTTTCGTTGTCTTTGGGCTGTTTTGCTACTCTGAGAGGTAGAAGTTGTAGAAAATTGATAGTAAGACAAATAATTCTTAATTATAAATAAATAAATTCTGTCAGGTGGAGGTTCAATCTGTTTTCCTCCTCCACTATGGGAGAAGCCAGTTTTGCGTCTGTTATGCTAATTCAATTCAGCATCTTGCTAGGTTTACATATTTATCTCATCTTTGGATTCTCCTTTGAAGTGGTTGCAACACCTTTCCAGTTCCCTTGTTCACTAATGTATTAAATAAAATCTTTGATACATGTTCATCATCCATTCATTGAAAGTCATGATTTTAACTTTCTTAAAAAAACTATACCATTCAAAATTCTGAACACCGACACCACCAAATGCTAGCAAGGTTGTGGAGCAACAGGAATTCTCATCCATTGCTGGTAGGAATGCAAAAGGGTACAGCCACTTTGGGAGACAGTTTGGTAGTTTCTTACAAAATTAAACATAGTCCTATCATATGATCCAGCAATTACGCTTCTTGGTATCTACCCAAAGGAGTTGAAAACTGATGTTCATGCAAAAATCTGCACACAGATGTTTATAGCAGCTTTATTCATAATTGCCAACACCTGGAAGCAACCAAGTCCAAGTGGGTGAATGGAAAAATAAACTGTGGTACATCCAGACAACGGAATATTACTCAGCGCTAAAAACAAATGAGTTATCAAGCCATGAAAAGACATGGAGGAAACTTAAATGCATATTATGAAGTGAAAGAAGCCATTCTGAAAAGCCTACATACCTTATGATTCCAACTGTATGACATTCTAGAAAAGGCAAAACTAGGGAGACAGTAAAAAGACCAGTGGTTGCAAAGGGTTGGGTGAGATAGGGGATGAATAGGCAAAACACAGAGGACTTTTAGGGCAGTGAAAATACTCCATATGAGACTATAATAGAGGATACATGTCATTACACATTTGTCTAAACCCATAGAATGTTCAACACCACAAGTGAACCCTAACGTAAAGTATGGATTTGGGGGGATTATGATGTGTCAATGTGGGTTCATCAGTTGTAACAAATGTACCACTCTGGTGGGGGATGTGGATAATGGGAGAGGTTGTGCATGTGTGGGAGCAGAGGGTACATGGGAAATCTCTGTGCCTTTACTTCACTTTTGCTGTGAACCTAAAACTGCTCTAAAAAAATAAAAACTTAAAAACAATCCTTTACCAGTATTTGGAAGAGAGTCTGGCAAAAGGTAGGCATCCAATAAATATTTGTTAACAAATGAATGAATGAATGAGTGAATTCAGACAAGTAAATGTAGTCTTTGCCATGGATGATTCGTCATGACGGAAAGGTGTGGAATATGAGTGCAACACTTAGCTACTATTTCAAAGTTGAAATCAAAATGGGAAAAGTCCCCTAATCTTTTGGGAGATGGCAGCAAGAAGGGCCTGCAAGGGATGTGGAGAGCATTGTGAAAGAGGGTGGACTGAGTGGCCTCAACACAGAGGCTGAGTCAGAGGTCATGAAGGGTGCTGGGCACAGACTAAGGGTGAGAGACAAGGAATGCCATGTAAGTCACAAGACTACTGTTTCATTTCCCTCTGTTGTAGACAGATCCCAGGACCTGCAAGTTTTCTCCTGTACTGGGCCTTTGAAAACCTGTCTAGATATGAAATAATATGTTGTTCTGGCATTTTTAGCTAGAGTACCATCTATAGCCAAATTGTCTAAAGGAAAAAACCTATGAGTCAGTTTCCAGATTTGTGAGTGTTCTGAAGATTACATCAATGAATTTCCATAGAATAAAAACACATACTTCCTGCAGATTGTCTGGATTCACAAAGATTTGTGTCACTCTCAACTAATGAGGAAGAACTCCCAAGTATGTTAGCTATAGACATGCGTGAACTTTTAAGGGGCATTTAAAAGCCAGATCTCCACTCTATTTTTCTCCTCCTTTACATAAATATAACGGTTGATATAGAAAAGGAAGCTGGATTATGGTTCATTATGTTGTTCCCAAAATTAAGATTGCAATTTTCAGAGTACTATCTGCTGCATCTTCTTCTCCCAGACACTTTATATATGCACATATATCATCTCTCATTTAATTCTCACAACAAGTATTTGAAGCACGTACTATTATCTTCCACTTTTTTTTTTTTGAGGAAGATTAGCCCTGAGCTAACATCTGCTGCCAATCCTCCTCTTTTTGCTGAGGAAGACTGGCCCTGAGCTAACATCCGTGCCCATCTTCCTCTACTTAATATGTGGGACACCTACCACAGCATGGCTTGCCAAGCGGTGCCATGTCTGCACGCTGGATCCGAACCGGCAAACCCTGGGCCATCAAAGCGGAACGTGAGCATTTAACCGCTGTGCCACCGGGCCAGCCCCTATCTTCCACTTTTTACAGATATGGAAATTGAAGCTGAGAGGTGAAGTGACTTGCCTTAGGTCATACCACTAACAAGTGGCAGCATCAAGATTCAAATTCAGGGCTAACTCTAAAGGTCACATTCTTTCTACTATACCATTATGCCCAGAGAACCGCAGGAGTGAAATTATGTAATAAAAATATTAACATTTTATTGAGAGGAGGAAAAGTCCAGTCATAAAATGTAATGTCAGTCCAAGGTAGAGGTTGGAGACTGGTGGATGGGGTGACTGCATAGGTTATAAAACTGCCAGGCGGCAAACAGGGCCAGGACTAGAGAGAAATGAGGGAGGCACCCGCCAAGGGGTAGGAGGAGAAGGAGAGGAGAGGAGAGGAGGGGTGAACACAGTGCCCAGCTGAGCTGGACTGGATAAAACAGCACCTAATCAAATTGGGAAGGATACTCACAGGGTACAACACAGGCACCCGTTTTAACCCTTATGCACATCTGAGAATCGGCATAAGCAACACGTTGCACATGGTAGATTTAGAAAAAAGACATCTGTTGAATCTCAATTTTAAAAGACTAGAAGACAAGACAGATCCAGATTAGACCAATAAAGGCTAGAAGACTTGATTTCCATAATTGGCACCTGCAGGGACTAGACTCATAAAATATTTGTTCCATGATTTAGGACAAAACAGGAAAACATCAGAAGTGATTGGGAAAGGCTTAACAAGTCAGACTGAATATGAACAAGTTTTTGCATTTGTACGGGTAATAGATACTATGTGCCAAGCAGAGTTAAGTGCTTTACATGCATCAACTCCTTTAATTCTGGTAACAACTCTACATAGTATATTTTCAGTCCCATTTTAACAGATGAGGCAGAGAAATTAAGTAACTTATTCAAGATCATAAAACTAGAATCCAGCAGATCTTTCTGGACCCAAAGGTCATGCTCTTAGCCGTTATACTGCATTCTGAACTCTGAACTTACACTGAATGAAAAAGCATAGCGGCTGCTTGTGCTAGAGACTGTATGGAGCGACTACCTCGCCACCAGGTAGTTGGAATTTGGGTGTCCAAATTATTGCTACAGAAAATAGCACATAGCATCACACATAGTCCTGTGTGATGAAAGAAGTAACGGCAACAGAAATTCGGCCAGGAGGCCTGGGTCTGGGCGCTTCCTGGCTGGTCACCTTTCATAAGCTGCTTGCTTGCTTTTGTCCCTACAGCTTTCAATGCGACAATGGCCTTCGATATTGCTAACATTAGGAGAGAGAGCTCAGGCGCAGTCTGCATTTATTATTTCATCTATTCTGGACCCTTCCAGGGGTGGGCATCCTCTATTAGGCTGCCTGCTTTGATTTATGAAGATTGTGGGTGGCAGTCCGACTCGGAGGAAACCAGACGATTCCTGCGAAGAACAATCATTTCCAAGATCTGATTAGGTTTAAATACACCACAGCCCAGTCAAAAAAAAAAAAAAAAAGTCTAGGCACAGATTTCGGGAAAGTTCCATTAGGTATCTGGATCTCTAGGACCACTTCCCCAGCAATGCCATAGACAGCTAACCCTAAAGAGGAAGCCTCCGCTGAGGTTGCCCACGGCGGGTGCTCCTCGCGTCGCCCGGCACACGCAAGTCACTGAGTCAGCCGAACGCGCCCCTGGAGTAGCAGGCCGGGGGCCGGCAGTGGAGAGCCGCGTGCGCCTCTCTTTTGGCGTGAGGCAATCCTCCTCTCGCAGTCTTGGGAAGCCCCGACGCCGCAGGCTTCCTCGCCGGAGTGGAGCCGCCCGGGCGTAGTTCCTCCGCCGCTTCCTCCTCCAGCTGCAACCACCCGACCCTTCCTGCTCGGCCAGGACTCCACCTCCCCGGGTTTGAAGCGCGCGCCTCTGCGAGCCCGGCGGCAGCGGGGAGGGCGAGGGAGACACGCGGCCGCGCGCACGCGCGCAGGGAGGCCCCGCCCCCGCCCGAGGCCCCGCCCCCTCGGCGCGGCTGGCGCGGCCGGCCGGCCCGGCTTCCCCTGGCAAACCTGTCTCGGCGGGGCGGGGAGCGGAGCTTCCTCCTGTCCGTGCGGTGCAGCGCCGCCCGATTTGTCCTTCCGCCGCTGCCGCCGCGGCGCCGGGCCGAGCGAGGGGGCGAGCGGAAGGGGCGCGGAGCCGAGGCCCGTGATGCGGCCGGCGGTAGCGGCGGCCGTCGCGGGGTCGCCGGCGCGGGACACGTCGCTGTGCGGGGAGCTGCTGCAGGCCCCGCCGCCCCCGGCCTCGCAGCCGCCTCCGGCCGCGCCCTCGGGGCCGCCGCTCTCCGCCCCCGCCGGCGCGACCCTCAACCGCCTTCCGGAGCCGCTGCTGCGGAGGCTCAGCGGGAGCTTGGACCGAGCGCCCGAGGGCCGCGGCTGGAGGAGGCTGGCCGAGGTAGCCGCGAGTCGGGGGCGCCTCCGGCTCAGGTGAGGCGCCGGGGGCGCGGGGGCGGGGCGGGGTCACGTGGGGCGGACCTGGCGGGGGGCGCGCGGGTGGGACGGTGGACACTGTTGTGGGAGGGACTGGCGAGCGTCGGGGGCAAGCGGGATGGTGCAGGGGCCGCTGGTGTGGCGGGAGCGCAGAGGGAAGGACGTGAATAATCTAGAGAGAGCCTGAAGCCAGGAAGGTCCTGGGAAGGCGTGAGGCTCGGGAGTGGACCCCAGGCGTTCACACCCCTTCCCTACCCGCCTCCCGATGAGCTGAGAGAGAGAAGTCCAGGTTGACCAAGGAGAATATGGAGAGAAGGAAAGCCATCTGGAGACCGTTATGATAGGGCAGTAATTCCAAAGCACTTAATACTAAAGTACAGAAGAACAGGATGTGGGCACAGACCTGGAAGCCTTAGGAAGGTTAGGAAAGAGAAGTGCAGGTAAAGAGAGAATGGAAGCGAAGGCTTTGGGGTGCAGGAATTCGTGAAGGTTTTTATGCAGCGAGAGAAGGATGGTGGGAAAGACAAACTTAACTCACCATCTTCCTCGGTCGAAACAGCTTACCAAGTTCTCTTCTTGACTTCACCGTGAACGTTAAACTATAAGTAAAACTGTTTTCCTGTTACCGTGCTTGGAACCGCTGTACTAGCGCTGCTTGAACTTTTGGTCTCAGGTTCCTTTACACTCTTAAAAATTATTGAGGACCCCAGAGAGTTTTTAATGTGGCTTTAAATGTATTACATACATATAATATATACTGGTATTTACCATGTGAGAAATTAAAACTGAGAAATTCTTAAAATATTACCTGAAAAGAATAACTCATTATATGTTAACAGAAATTACATGTTTTCTGGAAAAACAAATATTTCCAAAACAAAAAAAACGAAAAGAAAAGTGGCACTGTTTGACATTTTGAAAATCTCTTTAACGTCTTGGCTTAGTTGCAGAGAGCTGGCTGCTTCTGTGTGCTTCTACATTCAGTCTCTCTTGCACTGTCACAGGTTGTACAACACTGGGTGCTCCCACATACACTCCCGAGAGAGCGAATGAAAGAGATAAATAACGTCTCTGACTTGTAGATCGAGTGACAGGATCTCAGGAACTGCACTTGTGCTTCCTAGACTACACTTACACCCGCCATTCTATACCATTGTTATGATTCAGTCTGTTTTGAACCCCTTAGTGGTTTTTTTAGCTTCTCCTATGACTTTGTCTTATACTGTAATTATTTGTACACATCTTTATGAACTCCTTGCGAACAGGAACCATCACTTAAGATTTTGTATGTTATGCATAGAACCTATCTTAGAGTTCTGTAAATACTTTGAATTGACAGGGGACTCATTCATTCACAACTTGAGTGCCTGTTATTTGCTAGAAGTTCCAGAAGGTAAAAAGATGACACATTTTTAACTCCTATTCATAACGGCTCATCTAGTAATGGACTGTTATTGTGGGCCATTCACAAACAACGTGTTGACTGCCATGTTGGGTGTAAATAATAATAATAATGGGTTTTAATCCTTTACTAAGCACTTAGTGTATACCAGTGTACTAAGTGTTTACATGCATTATCCGCTTTATCTACCTCACAACAACCTTGTGTTTCAGAGAATTGGGATTATTTGGCCATACAGAGGAATAATGATGTGAGGATGGAATCAGGAATTGGTAAACTTGCAAAGTTGAGCAGACAAATGGCATACTTTCTTTCTGTTCTAGGAAAACACATTGTGCTTTTGACTGTGTAAAGAAAATCCAAAATACTGTTATTTTAGGCCCATAGATTTCTGAATTTCTAGACTTATGATAATATAAAAAGTTGTCTTTTTTGGAGGTGGGGGCTCAGATGACCAGATCTGTGATTGGTTAATTTGTGATATTAACTGAGTTTTATTATTAACTGAGTTAGTACTCTAGTTAGGGAAGGGTCTAGGCTTTCCTGAAGAGGCCCTGGGAGCAAAGACTCCTATTTGGTGATCAAAGAGAGAGAAAAAAGTCAGTAAGGCCCTGCCACTGAAGAAGCGAGGCTGCTGGAATCTAGAAGTAGTGGATACCTGACATCAGGTGTTCAGTTTTCCTCCCCAAGCCTTCAGTCACGTTTTGTTAAAGGCTACAGAATGGTGTTTGCTTTGTTTGTGAAACTAATGGAAAGGTTTGAGTCCACATTTCTGGTGAAGGCGGGATAGAGAGAAGGGAAGTTGCCTAGCCTGAGGTGACAGACAACAAGGGGCATGGGGTGGTGGAATCTGGGAAGTCTGATAAGACACACAGGGAGTTTCACCAGTCTCCTCAGATGGTGAAGGTTAGTTCAGAGTAGGTTAGTTAAGGAGTGTGTGAGGGCAACCCAGAAGGTTGGAGAATTGGGGACTGTTAAGCTCATATACATATTGAAATCAGAAGTAAACTGACATAATAGAGGTTAGCACTGAGAACTTAGAGACTCAAGAGTGACAACAGAAGGGGCAAGGTAAGCTGGTCATGCTTACTCTACTTAAGACAAAGAAAGTTATTCTAAAACTATTGTATACTGATGGCAGAAGAGCATCTATGATGGTAGAAGGTCCTAAGGGAGGCTTTCTCTAGTATCAGACCTGGGAGTTGCGGTGTGAGAGTCCAAGTGGATAACACTTCCCGCGAAGGTATTAAGTGCTTTCCTTAGAGTTGCTGGATTCACCACCCTGAAATCTCAAAAAGTTGCCTATTCTGTTTCTCTTCACTTTTTTTCTGACTCTATACATTTTCTGCAAACTAGATGAGAATTTAATAAATACACCACAAGCATCGATTCTGAACTGTCTATCAGGGATTAAGAATAATTTGTTTCCAGACGGTTATTGATGACTCAGAATAAATCCTTGCATATAGTTTACTTTCCCACAACCATGGACATATGGGAATGCCCTAAATACAAACTCAGCCCTAATTCCGTTCCACACTGACCTAATATTGAACACCCTTTGCTGTCATTGTAGATAGTGACAGTTCTGAGAGTCTTACCCAAGCTATGTAAATTCTCTGGTGGCATGGAACATCAGAGCCCCAAAAATGACAGAGCTTTCAAGGGGCTCTAATACTATCTAACTTCCATGAAGGAGAGAACTTAGAAATAGGCTGTGGAACGTGGACCAAGGAAAACAGTCAGTCATTGCCTACCTACTATATTGAAGGTGTCCTTTGAGCTGCAGAAATCCTGCCCTCAAGCACTTTGTGATAGGAATGAGAACGTGTGTGAAAAGTTGCAACAAAAGGCTTCCTCCTGTCTCTAGCTCTTCTGTCTCCCTATCTCTTAGGTCTCTGAGTTTTGGAGTGCCCTAGGGCCCAGGCTTTGTGTCTCTTTATCTACACTTCTTCACCTAATCTCCTTCTTGGTGTTATCTTTTAGTCTCATAACTTGACATATATTTAGATTGATCACTCTCAGCTCATATCTTCAGCCCATATCTTTGCTTTGAACTCCCTGGATTCTTATGAGTAGATGCCTATTTGCCATCTCCTTTTGAATGAAACGGAACATGTCCAAAATTTAGCTTCTTCCTCCATGAACCTCTTTCTCTTGCTGTTTTCTGCGTCTCAGTGAGTGGCAACTGCATCCATCCAGTTGCTAAGCCAAAAACTTGAGAGGCATTCCTAAGTCCACTTTTATACACCACACGTGTTTTATCAGCAGATCCTGTGTGCTGTGCCTTCAGTGTAGATCTAGAAGCCAGCCTCCGCTGCTACAACACTGGGGCAAACCACCACTGTCTCTAACCTGGACTGTTCCAATAGCTGCCTGACTTCTCTTCCACCTGCTTTGCCCTCACCTCCAGTCTCTTCTCCAGATAGCAGTAAGAATGATTCTTTTAGAACATTAGGTCAGGTCTTGTCCTTCCTCTGCTCAAAACCCTCCAACTACTTTGCCGTCTTGCCATGAAAACACCATTTAGCTACCAGTGATATGCTATTATTATCTCCCTCCCTCTCTCTACTCTGGTCACACTTGCTTTCTGGTTTTTCCTTGAACACAGTAGGGTGTTTGTACCTGCTGTTTACTCAGCCTGAAATGGTCTCCACAGATGACCACATGACTTCCTCCTTCACCTCTTTGAGTGTTTGCTTAAAAGTCACCTTCTCACTGAGGTCTTCTCTGATCACATTATTCACAGTTACCCCTGCATCTGCTCCACGCTACCTGTACCGCTGCTTTGCTTTGTTTTTCTCCAAAGCACTCATGACCATTGGATGGATGGATACACACATACCACCTACAGAGAGAAATCTCCCTCTCTCTGTCTCTGTGTATCTATCTGTCTGTCTATATCAGTATATATATATCCGTCCCTCTCCTCTAGAAAAATCCAGGAGGATAGGAAATTTTATTTTGTTGGCTGCTGTATCCTCAATACCTAAGAAAAATGGTTGGCCTATTTTAGGTGATTAGTAAGTAGCTGTTGAATTAATGAGTAAAGATTCCAAAGAGTAAATGTACCAAGAAGAAAAGCAGAGAACCCTGAAAGCAGTGCCATGGTTTGTACCCTAAAGGGTGTATCGTGTTCTATTTGATTATATATTCTTAAAAGTAAAGATAAATATAGATGTATTTTTTTAAAAGTAAAGTCTTTTTGTTTCAGTAAGTCTTTTAAATTAGATCAGAAATTCTAAATTAGGGCTGGTAGAAACCACTTCAAAGCATAATCTTACAGGAATGTAACTAAAAAAGGAAAGAAATAAAAGTTGGGTATGTATAAGCACCATCTTGGCTGAAAGCCAGCGCCCATGCGGAAAATCAGTGAAAGGAAAGGAGAAGGGGAGTCTTGTTTTTCTTCTCTGCCTCTTTTATTGGAAGAGAAATCATGTCTGCTTCAATTTGATCTTTCTTCATTTGGGGGGAAAAGTTCAACTCCTTTTTCATTTTCTCTATGTCAATGTAAACTTTAATTAAAGCATGACTTGGTTGCATTTGATAAGATGGCTTTTTAAAGATTTTATTTTTTTCCTTTTTCTCCCCAAAGCCCCCCAGTACATAGTTGTATTTTCTTCGTTGTGGGTCCTTCTAGTTGTGGCATGTGGGACGCTGCCTCAGCGTGGTTTGATGAGCAGTGCCATGTCCGCGCCCAGGATTCAAACCAACGAAACACTGGGCCACCTGCAGCAGAGCGCGCAAACTTAACCCCTTGGCCATGGGGGCAGCCCCAAGATGGCTTTTTAATTTCATGTATCAGATCCTGGTAAAAACTATATTTAGCATACAGCATCCTTGTTTTTATAGATCTCATATTCTAATTATTTGAAAAGTTGGTACTCCTTATACTATCTGTAATACTGGTTCCTTGACCTGGGCATTACAGGGACTAGTGCAAGAAAATTTTACAAAACAGGACCAACAGGCATCTTCAGTTTTTGTTTTAGCTACCATTATAGTCACTGTTATTTCATAAAAGAAAGGACAGATTAACACTAAAAAAAAAATAGGAAAGAGGGGCCAGCCCCATGGCTGAGTGGTTAAGTTCACGCACTCTGCTTCAGTGGCCTGGGATTCGTTGGTTTGGATCTTGGGCACAGACCTACACACTGCTCATCAAGCCATGCTGTGGCAGCATCCCACATAGAAAAACTCTAATGACCTACAACTTGGGTATACAACTATGTAGTGGGGCTTTGGAGAGGGGGGAAAAGAGGAAAATTGACAACAGATGTTAGCTCAGGGCCAATCTTCCTCACCAAAAAAAAAAAAGAAGAAGAAGAAGGAAAGACGATCTTAGAGTAAAAGACAGTCTTATTGTCCTTATTTTGATCATTTTACCATGGACTTCAGATTGTGCTGCCACTGGTCTACAGTGCAGAATTGGGAATGGTTCCTCTGTATTATGATGATTCACGTTTAACAAGAATAAAGTATTGAATATACAAGGTTAATTAGGATACTTAGAAAAGAATTCCTAGTTAATATAGTGACTGGAGGACCTTGGAGGACATTATCAGCTTACCAAAATAGTAGCTACTCAAAAACTTTTTCAAGGAAAAGCTAAAACAGTTTCAGAAATAAGCATAATTAAGAAATGAACCTTTGGGGCGGGCCCCATGGCCAAGTGGTTAAGTTCCCGCTCTCTGCTTCGGCAGCCCAAGGTTTCACCAGTTCGAATCCTGGGCATGGACATGGCACTGCTCATCAGGCCACGCTGAGGCGGTGTCCCACATGCCACAACTAGAAGGACCCACAACTAAAAAAAAAATACACAACTATGTACCGGGGGGCTTTGGGAGACAGAGGAAAAAAGTAAAATCTTTAAAAAATAAAAAATAAAAGAAATTAACCTTAATATTCTTTTAATATCCCCTCATTTTGTTGCATAATGAGAGCTAACTTTTGTTGAGTACTTATTATTTGCTGAGCACTGTGGTAAGTACTTTTCACTTGCATTATCTAATTTAATTCTAACCATCCTATGAGATAGATGATATTACTAGTGACATCGTTTTGGTTGGATACAGTTTTTTCTTTATGAGATAACCAACTTTATCGGAGAAGTGTGAATCTTGGGTGACCATTATGTAAGTGCTATGGCAGCCTTTTAATAAAACTGATCAAAATGAATGTGGATTAAGAGTATTTCAAGTCATAGGAAAGCTTGTTGACCTTGACTCTGCCATGGCTGTGGTACTTTGTGTTTGTCCCCTTCCACCTACCCAGGCTTTCAGGCTCTTCAGTTTTGATTGGAATTCAGGTATGAGTAATTAATATGGGCAAGACAGATTTTTAGGCGTTGAGGGATTAAGAAATAGATATATATTTCTCATAAGTAAGCATGAGAGAAGAATATATATAAGAAATATATATATATGATGGGGTTTCTGTTTTCAAGGAGTACTGTAATCTAGTTGGGTAGAGAAGACATGCTTATGAAAGAAAAGCTCACAGTTTTAGGGCAAAATTGTGTCAAACAAAACATACAACAGGGGTCTGCAAACAATGGCCCATGGGCCAAGTTTGGGCCACTTCCTGTTTTTATACAGCTTATGAGCTAATAATGGTGTTTATATTTTAAAAATTATAAAACAACAAAAAAACCAGGAAAGAAGAATATCTGACAGAGACTGGCCCATAAAGCCTAAAATATTTCCTCTCTGGCACTTTACAGGAGCAGTTTGCCAACCTCTGGTCTGTGAGATGAGCACCATTGGATTTTGTTTGGTCTTGGTTGGTTGTTAGGTCTCATTGGGAAGGTTTTTATTGTTTTGGTTGCTTGATTTTACTGTATTTTTTTTTCTTCTTTTGAATATTTTTTACTTATACTTTCCCTTCCTCTGAAACAGTTGAAGTCCATACTCCTTCCTTGTCCCATTGTTTATGGCCTTCTACAGTCTGATCTTAACCTGTCTTTCTAACTTTGTACGTCACTACTGAGCACAGTCACACTGAAAAGGAAATTGCAATGTATGTTAAATGTTAAACTGATACAAAAGGGGCCAGCCCCGTGGCCAAGTGGTTAAGTTCGCGTGCTTGGCTCCAGCGGCCCAGGGTTTCACGGGTTTGGATCCTGGGCCGGACATGGCACCGCTCGTCAGGCCATGCTGAGGCGGCGTCCCACATAGCACAACCAGAGGCACTCACAACTAGACTATACACCTATGTACGGGGGCGGGGGCGGGGGCACAGAAGAAGAAGGAAAAAAAGAAAAAAAGAAGATTGGCAACAGATGTTAGCTCAGGTGCCAATCTTTAAAAAAAAGAAAATACTAATACAAAAAGGAGAATAGTTTTAGCAAAAGGAGAATGAGACAGAATGTAAAGATTCTTTAGAGCAGGAGTCAGCAAACTTTTTCTGTAAGGAGCCATATAGTAAATGTTTTCAGCTTTGCAGGGCAACTACTCAACTCTGCTGTCGTAACAGGAAAGCAGCCATATACGTGTGTAAATGTGCAAATGAATGAGCATAGCTGTGTTCCAACAAAACTATTTGCAAAATCAGGCGACTGGACACGTTTGGCCCACAGACCGTAGTCTGCCTGCCCACCCATTAGGGTGTTTCTAGGTGCTTAGAAGTACTTTGAATGTCAATAGCACTGAGTGTCTTTTTAGAAAAATTGTTGCAAAAATCAGTGCACATAGTAAAAAATTCAGTGATACGAAAGGATTTATAGTGAAAAATGAATCATCCAGGTATGAGCTCTGCTCCCTTGGCTCCTCTCTCTAGTGCAACCACTGCTACCAACTTCTTGGCTGTCTCTTCAAAGTTACTCTGCCTATATAAGAACATGTATATATTCTTGTTAATAAAAATAGTATCATACAGAACATAAACTGTTCTGTATCTTAGTTTTTTCATGTGAATACACACGTAGACATTACTTTGTTAATACAAAATACTGTGTTAATTTTTTTCATTTTTCAGTATGTCTCAAAGATTGATGCCTCTTTTTTGAGTCATCTTATACTTTATGTAAGTACAAGAAAGAGTAATTTATCTGTTTTTCCTATTCCCTATTCTGAAATTAAAGGTGGAAATTTTTATCACTATCAAGGCCAAATTTTTCTCATATCCTGTTTCAAGATTTCCCTCATTGTCCTGATTTAGTAGTCATTCGGAGCTGAGTTGGAAAAGGGAATAAAGAGGAATCCCCTGTAGTGGCAGGAGGAAGAGGAAAGGACAGTAGCAGTCATAATGTAAACAGTTTTTCATCACTCAGCAACTCGTGGTTTATTCCCTACAACACCTATGATGGTGCCAAACATACAGCAGGCATATATTGAAGAAAATTGTTGACTTGGATTAAATCTGTTGTTTCCAGTGGCCTGGACTTGGAACAGTGTTCTCTTAAGGTCTTGGAGCCTGAAGGAAGCCCGAGCCTATGTTTACTGAAGCTAATGGGTGAAAAAGGTTGTACGGTCACGGACTTGAGTGACTTCCTGCAAGCTATGGACCACACTGAAGTTCTTCAGCTTCTCAGCCCCCCAGGTAGGTTTCTCTCTTGGGTAGGTTCTCCAGGAGTTCATGGAGGCAAACTTAGAGGAAAATATCTCATTTGACCAGATCAATTGTGTTAAATATTTTTAGAAAATGTCAATGTCTGGAATCTCATTTTTTTCCACAGCTTAAGGCTAAAGAACACATAAAAAGACAATAAAATGCATTGATTGGATTGTGGTTCAAAAAATCAGCTACAGAAGACATTTTGGGGACAAGTAGAACAATTCAGATATAACCTGCATGTTCGATATTAGAGAATTATCGTGTGATAATGGTGTTGTAGTTCTACAGAAGAATGTCTTTATTACAATTGCCAACATGATGATTTTGAAGTGTTGGTTGACTTAACCATATGATTTTTTCCTGAATATACCAATATGGGGTGAGGTTTCTCACTTCCAAGGTCAGATGTGAGGACTCGGAAACAGTCCCTCCTCCCCACAACTACAGATAGAGTTGGTCAACTAAAGTAGTATCAGGCAGGACAGACCGTACCCTCTAAGTCACCTGATGACAGCAGCGCTGCAGCCTTTTCTCAGGGGTACACTTTGCCATTATAGGACCCAGTAGAAGCAAAGAAGCCAGTGAAGATCCGGAGGGCCGTAGACTAAGGACATGATGCTTTCATTTTACATGGTTGTGATGGATGCAGTTTTCATTACATAACAAATTGTTTGTGATATAGTTTTAAGTTAACATGAGGAACCTAACATTATAATCCAGATCTTATTTTTAACTTTGTCAGTTCTGGGGTTGGGGAATTAGGGACACAGGGGAGTGGTGTACTATCAGTTACATGTACCAGAAACCCCACCTCACATTGCCGTAATAAGGGGAATATGTTGGCCGTCCTAATGGAAAAATCTTGAAACAGGTTGGGCTGCAAGAGAGGCAGGGGAACCCTGTTCCCCAGGAGTTGGTTTTTTTCATTTTTGCTCTTCCTTTCCTGTCATTATCTTTCTTCCGAGATTGACTTTCTACATTGTCACAAGATATCTACTAGCTGTTCCTTGCATTCATCTTTGACCCAGCAAAAATCATAAGATTCACTCTAGTTAACTAATTTTGGCCACGTGCCTGTCCCTGCACCTGTCACTGTGGCCAGGGAGATGGAATGTGCTGATTCGCCTGGTTTAGAGCCGGGAGTGGAGTTGGGTTGAGTTAGCTTTCCAGAAACCTCCTGAAAATGCCTCCTTTGTGTCACATCCTGTGTTGGATGCTTGACCTAAGTTTCTCAGTGCCTCTTTGTACCAAGAGGTGTGGAGTAGGTATCATTAGCTGCTAATGAACATCCTTCTAACACTTCTATCACCAGCTGCTAATGAACATCCTGTCTAGAGAAAATTGTTGTCTGTCACCAATTAGTAAGCTACTTCTTCAGGTGACATTTATTAGTTTTTATATCCCCAGTGCCTTGAGTAGTACTCAGAAGTTGTGATGACTGAAATCTGCCAGTCCGGGGCACTCAGTTAACTTCTCAGTTCTCAAACTTTATAGAATACCAGAGCCTCTAAAAACTTAAGAAACCTCCCTGGGAAATAAATAGAATGTTTATGTCTCGTTATCTTTGTCAATAATTACACGTAATACTCTGACCATCAGTTACCAAATCTATAAAATGAGCCTAAGTGTTCTCTACCTCGCAGAGTTGTAAGAATTACGTGGAATAATGCTGTGTGGAATTGAATTGCATCTGGACAAGAGCAGAGGCCTCACATCTCATGATCTGTGGTGCAATCACTGGCCTGAGATCTAGTTTCCGATTTGTCAAAGTTTCCCATATACGAAACTGGGCTTGACTGAAATGGAGTCACATATATATGTGTAACGATCTGCCTGAAATTTTAAACAGTATTTTACATTTTGATTTTTGACAATCCAGCAGTGAATACAGTGCCATCCTAATAAACGTCAGTAATCTTCTTTTGAAAAGTCCATTTCTGCTCTTTGTGTTTTTCTCCAAATAGTAGGATTAGCACTTTACTGTCAGTGTTCCCCTGTGCAGGTCATCGTGATATCTGGCCTACAGGCTTTTTCAAAGGTACCCGGGGACCTTTTCACATTTGAGGGGAGAATAGGAAAAGGAAAGCAGTTTCTACGTTACCACTTATGCACTGTTTCTGTGAAGTTTTATGTCATATTAGCCATATAGTATCCGGTAGGAATCACTTGTTTCTTGAATGTTAATTACTGATTTGAGAGGAAATATTTTGGGATCTAATAAAGCTCAGTAATTTCAGGAAGAAGTAATTACTGTTAGTTTTCTATCTGCATCTTATGTGGGTAATCTAAAACTTACTGTATTTACAGATATTAGAATAAGGAAATATAAGACTTATAGAGAATAATTTTAATATTTTAATAAGGATACTGAGAATAAAAACCATTGTAATTAAGAATGTAAGCTCTGATAGAATCAACTTAATTTGGGATTTTGCTCATTCATTCAATAAACATTTATTTTATTCCAGTACCTTTGCTGTTCAAGATGTTGTGCTTGGTACTGTGAATTCAAAGATGACTGAAACCATAGTTCCTGCCTATTTAGAGTTCATAGTCTAGTAGAGGAGACAAACCTGTAAATGATCACATCCAGTACAATCATAAAAACAAGCATATACAGAGTAAGTTTGATCTGATCTCTAGTTTTTCCTTTTTGGTGTATTCCAGAATCTTGGTGAAAATACAAAATAGAACTATTCTAATATTTCTTTCTGTTTGAGTAATGCAGTTTCATAGGAGGACATTAGGTTTTATTCCACAGAAAGTCCAATGACTTTTCTCCGAATTGTCTTTATGAAGCAGTCTGGTTTGGGTGAGTAAGATGAGTTCTGTCAAGGATGCTGAGAACCTCTGTACAGGTCTTTCAGACCTAAATGTAGAGAGAAGGGGAAACTGTAGATTTATTTTACCAGATTTCAGTTGTACGTGGGATCACAGCCAGAGATCGCCATAGGAGATGGCTGTAGAAGGGACTTCATCTGCTATTGAGAAACTGATGTATTTGTTTTCATAGCCCAGAAGTAGCTGGAGCAGCATCCCCCCATCTCTGACTGGAATGATTCCCTTGATTAGGAGCCAGCTTCAGTGGTCCCTCACCTAGCATGAGCTGTAAGCTGAGGGTAACTCGCCCCCAAATTCTTGGTCTCCATGGGCCGTGACACCTAATGTATTTTCTTAAGGAGCCCCATGGGATTGAGGTTTACCTTCTGCTTTCTCTCTAACTGGGCTTTTCCACAGCACATGTGTTGGCCAGCTTGCCCCTCAGTCTGCTTTTGCCTGTGTTTTATGTTCGAGAAATTGCTTATAGTTTTTATGCATGGATGATGTGCATCCCCATTTCCAGCGCTGATTAATTGTTTCCCTGTTTTTATTCCTTTGGTCATCTCAGTGGGAATTGGGGGGGGGGTGGAGATGTTAAATGAATTTGCTGAAATTGTTTGAACCAGAAGTTCATAACAATTTTTTAGACCATTACTTTTTTATCAAAGGATCAAAAACCCTGATCCCTAAAGCAACTGATATTGGCATCTGTGTGCTTGGCAAATGTAGATAGACTGGGGGCGGCCCGGTGGCGCAGCAGTTAAGTGCGCACGTTCCGCCTCAGCGGCCTGGGGTTCGCCAGTTCGGATCCCCAGTGCGGACATGGCATTGCTTGGCAAGCCATGCTGTGGTAGGCGTCCCACATATAAAGTAGAGGAAGATGGGCACGAATGTTAGCTCAAAGAGCAACAAAAAGAGGAGCAAAAAGAGGAGGATTGGCAGCAGTTAGTTCAGGGCTAATCTTCCTCAAAAAAAAAAAAAATGTAGATAGACTCAAATGTGCAGTTCAAGATGCTTTTGTTTCTTTTGTCTTAAGTGAAAACGTTTTGAGTGCAGATTTATAGGCTTTATCAATTAGAGTTATGTAGATCATGAAATGGTTGCCAAGGAAGTAATGCCCTGACCTGAAATTGGTTAAGCAGAAGCTAGACAGTGGGGGATATATAGAGATCATTAACATTTTTATGTGGTTTTCCTTAGGTGAATCCTAAGGTTCTTTCCAACTCCAGTTTTATGATGTTGCTGTTTTATTTCATTCTTCATGTAGGTGCTTTGCTCTCGGTTTGTCTCAGACAGCTACGGCAGAGTCATGTGAGATCCTCGGGGCATCTTTTCCATTCACTCCCCCCACCCCTTTTTTCTTTCAGATCACTTTACTTTTTTTCTTTAGTCTTTTGTGGCACACTCATTATGTTTCTGATGTCAATTTTATTTTTTATTACTTTTATTATCTCTAAGACAAGAGCAAAGATCTTTGAATGTTATTTTTTAATTTAACCAAAATACCTTTACTTCACATTTTATCTTCACAATTCCGTGAAGGAAGAGAACAGTACTATTATGAACATTTAAATTTTAAATGTGAGCAAATATATATGTAGAAAAATGAGATTTCTGGAAGTTATCATTTGGCCAGAGTCACAGTTATTGACAAAGGTAGATTAGAACCCAAGTCTGCTGACTCTGACCTGAACTCAAGGTCATTTCCGTAATTCTAGGAAATTTCTGGGTTGTTTGAGGAACTTAAGTATAGATGATTACCTCTTATGCCTGTTTAATGCATGGACTTCAGTTTTTTTCTTCTTGTCAAATTAAAAAGTACACAAATACTAGATCTTATTTATAAGGGACTTTTCTTGTTTCATGAGCAATAAAAATTCCCAAAAGGAAAATATCAAGAAATGAAGAGGCAAAGATGGTATGGCTAGGAATAAGGATGAGGAGGAAGTAGAGAGAGAGAAAGGCTGTGGTAAGTGAGGTGTGAAGGAATGTGTTTCTGCGCCTGGGTGTGCAGGGTCATTGGGCGAGGTAGAAGAATATGGGATGCTGAGGAGGCTAGGGTTAACCACAGTAGGTGCACATGTAAATTGACATGTAAGAAGAAACTGCATGGACATACATTGGTTGTAGAACGTTGTAAAAGGGACCATAACATGGACATACTTCGGTGTGTAATGGGAGATTGTTGGCGGAAGAGGAAGGTATTCTGGGACTCTATGGGCGCTTTTCAACAATGACTTAGAAAGTTTCAGAATAATGTTGAGGGAGAGTTTTAGATGGAAGCTGATGGAAAAAATTTTTTGGTTCGTGGTCTCTGAAGATAGATGGACTGGAACGTATGGAATAAATCTCCTGGAAAAGCTGTTTGTGAATTGCATCAATATTTAAGTGCATTTCGAGAGAGAGTAACTTAAAGGGAGCCCATGATGAGTCCTTTTGTCAAGTCAGGAATCGTCCCTAATTTGTCTGTCTTGTAGTTCCAGCAGGGTTTTTGGTTTTATTGTTTAATGTCATGTATTTGTTGATCTGCATAGGTGTGTGTTGAAAGCGCAATCCTCAGGTTCCATCATACCTAGTCAGATTCTCCCCAGCTTACAGGAAATCAAGTAACCTCTTTGACTTCTTTGCAGATGTTATCTGAAAATAGGCTTGTTTGCCAGGAAGCTGTGCATTCACCCTTTAAAACAGAACTTTTATTTGTGTGCCTAGGTGTGCCCTCCATCGCGCCATGCCAGGTTCTTTCCTTACCTTTGTCAGCACCTTCTCACTAGTGGGCTCTGCAGGAGGGTGGTTAAAGGATGACCATGGTTCCCTGTCACACAACGCTACGTGGGAGGAAGGAAATGAGTGTGGTTAAAACATGGGAGGTATTGTGACTTCTTTTCTTTACTACTCACCAAGAGTGGTTTCCAAATCACATTTTGCCTTTCAGTTCTCAGTCTTTGAAGCAATAAGTGATAAATATGTGTTATGTACTTGCTGGCTGAAGACTAGACTACTAGAGTTGTTGGTAGAGGATAGATGTATAAACTGAATTTGAATGTACATTAAAAATCCTTTAGTCCTGTGTCCCACACAAATGATACCGTTTAGAACATCCTGGCCATATGGACCCTTTCCAGAAAGGTCGCTCATTCCTTTGTAAGACCCTCTAGGGAAGAAGCCTTTTACTTTCCATCACTCTGTCTCGTCTCTTTGTATAATAGCAGAGAACATTTGCCACAGTCACTTTATAAGCACTGTCATGGTGCAAGCCACTGCACTCTGCCCCATACACTCCCTCTAGTAAGAGAGGCTCACTGTGGCAGAAGATGGGATTAGCATTGGGAGACGCATTAAGAATCACTGGAGGGGCTGGCCTTGTGGCTGAGTCGTTAAGTTCGCGCGCTCTGCTTCAGCGGCCCAGGGTTTCGCTGGTTTGAATTCTCGACGCGGACATGGCACTGCCCATCAAGCCATGCTGAGGCGGTGTCCCACGTGCCACAGCTGGAGGGAGCCACAACTAAAAATGCACAGCTATGTACCAGGGGGCTTTGGGGAGAAAAAGGAAAAAATAAAATCCTTAAAAAAAAAAAGAATCACTGGAAAATGATAACTCTGTGAGGTGATGGATGTGTTGATTAACTTGATTGTGGTAATCATTTCACAACATACATGTATATTAAATCATCATACCGTACACCCTCAATATATACAATTTTTATTTGTCAGTTATATCTTTTTTTTTGAGGAATATTAGCCCTGAGCTAACATCTACTGCCAATCCTCCTCTTTTTGCTGAGGAAGACTGACCCTGAGCTAACATCCGAGCCCATCTTCCTCTACTTTATATTTGGGACGCCTACCACAGCATGGCGTGCCAAGCAGTGCCATGTCCGCACCCGGGATCCAAACCAGCGAACCCCGGGCCGCCGAAGCGGAACGTGCGCACTTAACTGCTGTGCCACCAGGCCGGCCTCTGTCAGTTATGTCTCAATAAAGGTGGAGGGGAAAAGAAAAAGAATCACTGGGCTAACAAGCATGAGGATTTTAAAGCCCAAGAAAACCTAGGTTTGCGCCCTAGTTCTGCCATTTTACAATGAAAACAAATTAGTCTCAGCGAGGTTAAACAGTTTACTCAAGGTAATTTTGGGTGACCACCTACAAATTACTTAATTTCATTTTCTTCGTTGTAATATAGGTCTAATTAATATCTAACTCATATGGTTATTTTGAAGGTTAGAGATCCAAATGGCTAACACTTATAAAGCAGTCAGTAAATTGCTGCTAAAGTGACTTTTATTATTATTATATATATTCATTCAACAAATACGTGTTGAACACCCACTGTATCCTCACGTGCCAGGCACTATTGTAGGTTATAAACTGGTGACTGAGACAAACAAGGTGCTTGCTCTCACAGAGCCTCAGTTTTAGTGGGTGCGACAGACAACCAGAAACAGGAATTTCAGATGATTCGTACAGTGAAGACCACAAAGTGAGGGGAATGTAATAGAGAACTGGGGGTGGGGGAGTGGCTAATTTAGAGATGTTGCCCAGGGAAACTGGAGACCTAGATGATGAGAAAGAGTGAGCCAGCCATGAAACAGTGGGGGCTTGCGGGGAAAATCCAGCAGAGGACTAGTAAATGGAAAGGCAGAAAATAGCTTAGTTTCCCAGGAAAGGGGACCAATGTGACTGGAGCATGGTGAGCAAGGAGAATGGTAGGGGCCGAGGTCAGGCAGGTCCGTTCAGGTAGGGCCTCGTAGGCCGTGTGAGGAGTTTGGGTTTTATTCTGAGTACAGTGGGAGGTCTGTAGAGGGTTTTAATCAGAGGAGTGATGTGGATTAATTTATGTTTTAAAGAGACATCTGGGCTGCTGGTTGGAAGCAAGGAAACCAGTTCGCAGGCTGTAGCAGTAGTTGAGTTGAGAGCTGGTAGTGGCCTGGATGAAGACCGTGGCGTTGAATGTGGTGAGACTTGGAAAAGCTTAACTGACAGGACTTGCAGATAAATTACATGTGGAGAATCAGCAAGTGAGAAGGAGGGATTCTGGGATGGCTGCTGAGTTTCTGTCCTGAGTAACTGGACAGGTCGGGTAGGCTGGAAACCTGTTTATCTGCCCTGAGAGGGAGAAGACTGCGGGTCAAGTGGAGGAGTGGATTTTGTTTGGGGAGATTTGGGACATGTTGAGTTTGAGATGGCTGTGACACAGCCACATTTTAAAGCCAGAATTGGCTACAACCCTTGTGTTTTTCAGATTTATACCTGTTCCTTTCTCTCGTTATAGCAACTTTTTTCCCTCTTACCACACCTGAACTTTGAAAATCAGAATCATTGTATCTTAAAATTGTGATGTCAGTCTCTCCTGGCAGAGGAATGGTATATGGGAGCATGAAAATACAGTGTTGTGAATTTGCTGGCTTAAGTGAGAGTGCTCATCCCATTTTCTGACTTCCACGTGTACTTTCCTACCAACATGTGTTACAGAATTCAGAAAACTCTTACCTCATCCATCCTGTGCAGATTTGGAATCAACATAAAGAATTAATAAATATGAAAGCTCTCCCTTGACAAAAGTTTTAAGTTCTTTTTTAAGAGGCTCTACTTGATTTACCAAAGATTTTCTAGGGTTTCTCCGGACCCTGAAATGTAGTAGGTATGCAATAAATGTTTACTTATTTTGGATTTGGGGTTTATTTCGTGTCTTTTTGGTATGGATTTCACACACCTGTTTTACCTTATAGACTATTTTTTTCCTAGACAGTTTAGTACCTTTGCTGTAATACGATTGCTACTGTTTAGACTAACTCCTCTTCAGTTGTAATCTTGTTTTCTTCCTTTGGATTGGTTGGTTATAGAGGAAAAAGATAGTTATGAGATCATATGCAGGATAGATGAGGAAAGAAAATAAAACTAGGTGTGGGGAATTAAGGTTTGTAAGTTTTAATGATCTTTTCTCCTTCCTTTCTAAAAGCCAACTAACCCAGTTTTTTGTATTACAGCCCTGGCAGATGTAAAATTTCCTAACTTTGGTTTCTTTTCTGTCAGTTATCAGTTGCTCCATAACAAATTACCCAAAAACCAGAAGCTTAGAACAACAACTGTTGATTATCTCACACAGTTCCTGAGGATAAGAATCCAGAAGTGGCTCAGCTGGGTGGTTCGGGCTCAGGTTTTGGCCCCTAATGAGGGGGCAGCCAGGCTGTTGACCAGGGCTGCAGCCGTCTGAAGACCCTCTTCTCAGGTGGCTCACTCACATGGCTGTAGGCGGGAGGCCCAAGTTTCTTTCCTGACCACTTGGGCCTCTCCACAGGGCGTCCTGAGTGTCCGGTGACATGCAGCAGACTTCCCTTCCCCAGATGGAGTGACTGAGAGAGAGGCCGGAGGGAGGGCCAGGGAGGGTATTCCGTTATTGACTCCACGATTTTCTTTGAAGCTCCCGTCAAAAGTTTTCCAAGTTTTGATGCTGATAGTCATATGTGAGAAATGTTTGTAGTCACGTATATCAAATTTATATCCTGCTGTTCTGTTTCTGTGCTTTTGTGCTTAGAGAATAATTTTCATTTTAATGCTGAATCATAGCATTGAAATTCAGGTGTCTTTTGAAGACATTTTCATTGGCATTTCAACTCAACACTTGTCTTACTAAGAGTGCAGCTAACTCAGTTGAAGTGCCACCCACGTGAGCATTGATGACCAAGTATTCCAAGAGCTGGCACTGAGAAACGACGTTATGACTGCTGCCTAGCAGACATCTGTTATAAGGGGCGTCCTGATTTTAGAGGGGTTAGAATGTGGAAAACATATTTCTGAGAATTGAAGAAATATGGCAAACAGTTTTCTCCCCCAATCGTGGGAAGTACAGTAGATCAAAGTCTTCCGCAGGTGAGTGTCTTTCCTCCTCGTTTGACAAAGCCTGGAACTCTCAGACTCATAATCTGATGGGGGAAGCAGATGTGAATGGGTGGTTTATAACAAGGATCAACGTGCAGGTTATTTCCAAAATACTTCTTTTTTTGGTTTCAGAAATGTAAACAAGGAAAACCCCTCTTCGGTGACTTTAACTTTTTTTTTTTTTTTAAGGAATAAAGATCACCGTAAACCCAGAATCAAAGGCAGTCTTGGCTGGACAGTTTGTGAAACTGTGTTGCCGGGCAACTGGACATCCTTTTGTACAGTATCAATGGTTCAAAATGAATAAAGAGGTAATATTTTTAAATGTCTTTTAATTCCTTTGTCATAAGAAGAGAGGATGATAGAAAATTAATTAGCATTATTATCCTCAATGTGCTTTTAGGAATTTTCATCTGATAGACATTGCTGTGTTATTATCGAAGTATCCAATAATTATTTTGGTAAGACAGTTTCAAAATCATATTACAAAAAAATTGTAAGCAATAATAAAATCAGTTCTCTACTCTAAAAATTGTGGAAAATAGCTTGGACCGACAGCGTTAACAAATAGGAAACATCACCAGTACATTTTAACATCTTTATACAAACTCCTTTGCAACAAATTATGTTCCAACTAAAATCTTTAATTACAAGATTTTCAAGGCTACTGCAGTATTATTTAAGCATTCCACATAACTGTATTAGATCAAAAGATTCCGGCTATTGTGGTAGATTCTAAAGTAAAATTCAGGTTGGTGGCAGGGGGCATTTATTCCTCTTGTGGAAGCACTGTATCCCTGCACTGCCAACAGATAATTTAAAATTGCATATTGGAATTCTCTTTCTCCAACGGTCTTTGAGGGGCCAGCCCGGTGGCGCAGCGGTCAAGTGAGCACGTTCTGCTTCGGTGGCCCGGGGCTCGCCAGTCCGGATCCCAAGTGTGGACGTGGCACCGCTTGGCAAGCCATGCTGTGGCAGGCATCCCACATATACAGTAGAGGGAGATGAGCATGGTTGTTAGCTCAGGGCCAGTCTTCCTCAGCAAAAAGAGGAGGATTGGTGGCAGATGTTAGCTCAGGGCTAATCTTCCTCAAAAAAAAAAAAAAGTTCTTTGAGTCCCTCTGTCACTGAGGATTTCTCACTGGTGTTGCTGGCCTGTGTCGTGTCCCACTTTGGTGGGCATCTCTCTTCTCCCTCATCCATCTCCCGTTGCCCCCTTCTCTCCTAGATCGCACCTTAAAACTCCATTTTGTTTTCAACCTGTTAGTCAGATAGCTAAGCTTTCTTCCCAGCTCGATGCTAAAGCTACATTTGCAAACCTGAAACTAGGTAAAGAGCTGTTGTAAGATTACAATCTTTCCTTTAATGGGATCACTCTATGCCTTAGAAGTGTGTGGTTTTATACAGTTTTTTGTCCACATCCCTCACACACAGGTAAAGTAGAGCAGCTGTGGACTGTACTAAAAAGAGCTCATTTAGGCTTTGGTGCCAGACAGCCCGTGTGGAACCCTGACTGTCGTTATGAGCGATGTGAGTTCCTGTTGTCAGGGGTCGTGAGAATTTAGCAGACAGGTGTTTTCTGTGCCTAGGCTTCCACGAGATGGTGACTTAACGTTTTTTACCATATTTTCTCAAATGCAAAGTTGCTTTCATTTTTGTAAATGCCTTTTGAAGGAGAAGTAATGGAGAAAACTTACTATATTATCATTTGTGAAATATGTCCTGATTTGAGAATAGTAGAAATGTAAAGGATGGGGAGTACATCTTAGGTTTGGAGAGTCGTAATGGACTTCAAAGCTTCAGCAAGTTGAGTTTTATCAAACCACTTGTATGTTCATGGGTCTATTTTAAGAAATACTCGTTTAACGAGTACGCGATGAGCAGCTGTTTTGTGCCAGGCCACGTTCAAGGCCATGATGAAGGAGCACTGACTCACAAGGGGCCTGCCTCCTCCAGTGGGGAGAGAGAGACAACAAACAAATAAGATAATTCTTTGAGGGGCTGTCCCCATGGCATAGTGGTTAAGTTTGGTGTGTTCTGCTTCGGCGGTCTGGATTTGAGGGTTTGGATCCCAGGCACAGACCTACACCACTCATCAGCCACGCTGTGGTGGTGACCCATATATAGAGTAGAGGAAGATTGGCACAGATGTTGGCTCAGAGCTAATCTTCTTCAGAAAAAAAAAAAAAAAAAGATAATTGTTTGAGTTAAGTTCTGTGAGGAAAATAAACAAGGTGATGTAAAGTGAGAAGCCACTACAGGTCTTAAGCAGGAGAAGTAACAGGATAGCATTTATGTTTTTAAAACACACGTTTACTGCTCAAAGGGAAGCAAGAGAAAAACAAGAAGACCAAGTTATGTAAGCCTGTGCTACACTAGAAATAGTGGTCATGGTTGTGTGGACTAGAGTGCGGCACTGGAAATGGATCAAAGTGTGTAAGTCAGTTTATTTTAGAGGTAGAGTTAACCAAAGCTGATAGATTCGATGGGAAGCATGAGGAAAAAGGAAGAGACATCAAGGATGACCCTTAGATTTTTTACGTAAGCATCTGGGGATGTGTTACATACTGAGGTATTGAAGCTTGGGAGAGGAATCGAGTTAGGGAGCAAAATCAAGAGTTTAGTTTTAGATTTCTAAATGAATCAGCTAGTCGGTTTGGATATCCGGTGAGACAACATTGAAAGTTTCTGTCGTGGAGGAGGAACCAGTAGAAGAGAGACTAAGAAGAATCTGCAAGAGAGAGAGGAGAAGAACCAGGAGAGGATGGTGTGGAGCCTAAAAGGGAAAGGAGTTCAAGAAGAAAGGAGTGGTCAGCGTTTTCATTGCTGCTCAGAAGTGGGTGTGGGTCAAGAGAGGTTTGTTTTTTTGTTTTTGTTTTTTTAAGATACAAGGCACTAGAGTATATTTTTGAGAGTGATACGACATAAGAGAGAAAAAGATGCTAAAGCAGAGAGAAAATTCCAGGAGCAAGGTCAGAGAGAATGGGATTGTCAGAGAAAAATGTTTTCCTCTACCCTCATGGTCAGTCCTTGGGGGTCTGTGAATTTACTGACAAAATAACAGATTAACAAGAAAAAAATGTTTATTTATATGGAAACTTAGAAAAGAAGTAGCTCCATGAGTGATTAAAGTTAGAGGCTTATGTACCTAACTTAGTAGGGAAAAGGGATGAGGGAGAAGAGGCCTCTATGCGAAGAGCAAATGGTTTTCTTTAGGAAATACAAGGGTTTTCCAGAAGAATAAACAGGAGATAAGAAAGTCTGTGATAATCTTTGTTCATGCAGGTGTGAGTGGTCTCTGCATCTTCCTCACGGCCATAAAACTCCCCTGGGGAGGGGATTTATGGTCTGTTTACTCTTGGGCTCCTTCCTGGGAGTAAAAGCTGCACTGAAGAGGGAATTTATGGCAGCCTCATTTCCCAGAAGTTTCTGCATTTAGTCTGATAAGGGAAGCTCTGAGAAGGCTTCTTTCTGCGTCTGTTGAATCCCAAATGTCTTCAGCTTGAACTAATCTTCATACTGACTCTGGGGTTCTCAATGGGTCCTCATAGATCCTGAACCCAAGTAACCTGTGTTAGGAAGATGCATTTTCCATTTTAACAGGAGGGAAGAGAGTGGTTATAAGTAGGTAGAGACACAGACAGTTTTGTGATTTGGTGGCAGGAAGAGGAGAGTTTCTATCTGAAGCCAATGGCTGAGAGAAGTAGAATTGCAGGAGGTTTGAGGAGAGAGAAAGGATACATTAACAGTATGGTAGGAAAGCAAACTTAGTAGATTAACATGGTAGGATTGTCAGGCAGTGCTCAGTGCAGCCTCCCATCCCAGTTGTCACATCTTCAGCAAAATGTTCTTGCTCTCCTGCAGGTTCTGAGAGGGGAGAGAGTTGAATTCAATTGGTTGGGGTTTGGACAGGGAGAGGGGTGAGCTTGTTAAAGTACTTTGCAAGGGAGCTCATATGAGGCACTTAACTAAGCCTCTTGGCAGAGTTGGGTGGTGCTGATGGGAGCAGCAAAGATGAAAGAAACCATGTGACCAAAGCCCGGGGTGGGGGTGGGGGGGCTGTGGGGGGAAGCTCGGGAAACCCTCGGCCAGCCGGCCGCTCCCTCCATCACAGATACGCTTTCCATAGCGCTTCTCTGTCAGACCTGGAAAGAAGACTATCAGACAGACTATAAGGAGTCTGTCCTCTTAGAGAATTCTGCAGATGAGAAAAGAGAGTCTTGAGGTGGAGTAACTTGCTCACGTGCTCACAGCTAATTTGGTCAGGCCTCACTTTCTGTGCACTCCTCTCCACTTCATGGCGTTTGTTATGGCATGTGGCTACTTAACTCGTAAATGTTGCGTTTGTAGATTCTTTAAATACTAACGATTGAACAGTTTTAAATGACAACAGGTACTTTTCTATTAGTGAGTTTTTGGAAGCTATATGGGAGAGAGCTTAACTCTGGTTAATGGATTTCTGAAAGACTGGATTTCTAAGACTGCAGTCCTAAATTACTCGAAATGTTGTTTGTTTCAAGTAACAAATACTTTAGAACTTGGAAAAAAAAGATATACTTTTCAAAGCTCCAAAGAAATCACACATTTTGCACAGCACCTTTTATAGGGCATGTTTTGATGAGTCATTCACATGTTCTCTTATTGATTCTATCACAGATTCCAAACGGAAATGCATCAGAACTTGTTTTTAACACAGTGCACGTAAAAGATGCAGGCTTTTACGTCTGTCGAGTTAATAATCACTTCACCTTTGAATTCAGCCAATGGTCACAGCTGGATGTTTGTGATGTCACAGAAGTCACAGAAAGCTTCCGGGGTAAGTGATGAATTAAGTTGAATGTTGGGATGGAAATTGCCTTATTTTGTTTTAGTTTAAATGTTTACTTTTACTTTCACAGTATTAAAAATAGCACCAAAAGCTCACCTATGTACTTCACCCAACATAAGGTCACCAATTGTTAAGCTTTTATCCCATGCACTGTCATTCTCTCTCTCTGGATGTCTGTGTATAAGTGCAGACGCCTTAGGATGGCACAGAACCCTTCTTGCTCTGGTCCTGCTGCTGACCTCTTCGCACTTGCCTTCTCTTGTGGATTTGAAGGTGGTGGTCTCTGGTTTTCGAGGAGAAAAAAATCTGATAGTCTTGCTCACTTTTCAGTTCCTTTCCATACTGTATATTTTTCTCCCAAACTATTGCATTATTCCTAAAACATTGTGTTGTGGAATAAAAGCTCTAGGTTTGATGTTGACATGAAAGAGCATGTTGTGTATCATTCTCTGCAATAAAGCATTTCATCAAACTAATTTTCTGCTCTTTGTCATCCATCTTTTTAGTCCAATATCTAGTATTGATCAAGGGAAAAAAACAGTCTAAAGAGCAGCCATCAGATACTATTTTATTTATTCATACACATAGTCAAGAACCATATTCTTTGTCATTTTTGCCAGACAGAAAGAATAGGAGGGAAACAGACTTTCTGTTACCAGTCAGTCTGTCTTCCATTCTTCTCTCTCAATTTAGCTTTTCCTACACCTAAATAGTCTAAAAATAGTCATGATTAATTAAGAGAGTTATTTACATCTTTCTAGAATATTTCTGTGCATGTAATGAACTTTAGTATGTTTATAAATGGAATCTTGTTCATTCAACAGATATTATTGATCACCTGCAATGTGTTAGACCTTGAGTTTCGTGATGGGGACTTGGTGCGTATAGCGTAACATTGACAAACCCTCTGTCCTCAAGGAACTTAAAAAGTAACAATTGAGTGTTCAGTAAATGCTGCTTTCTGATATCTGCATTGGGAAGAAATACTAGTGATAACCTATCTGTATTTATTCAGTGCTAGTAACAAAATTCCTTATTTTAATGTCATGTTAAACAGCAGAATTTAGAGCTTTCTGTGTTGAACGTGAATATCTTTCAAGATGTTAATAAGTTGTTTCACCTTACCAAGAGGATTCTGCCACCAGACACATTTGGAAACCACTGGAACTGTTTTCTCCTCTTAAATACACAATGCATACTAACACTTTGAGAACTCTGAGAAGTCCTGCAATAAAAAATCTGTGTAGGGCCTGGCCCGGTGGCGCAGCGGTTAAGTGCAAACGTTCTGCTTCGGCAGCCCGGGGTTCACCAGTTCGGATGCCGGGTGCGGACATGGCACTCCTTGGCACGCCATGCCGTGGAGGCATCCCACACATAAAGTAGAGGAAGATGGGCATAGATGTTAGCTCAAGGCCAGTCTTCCTCAGCAAAAAGAGGAGGATTGGCAGCAGATGTTAGCTCAGGGCTAATCTTCCTCAAAAAAAACGCAAAAACTGTTTAAATTTGTTTAACCCAGAATTTTCTAAACTTATTTGTCCACAGCATCCTTTTATCCACAGAACATCTCTTAATATTTTTAGACGTGCTACAGTTCTATGAAACATAGTTCGGGAGATGCTATTAAAGATTGTAAAAAAATGAAAGGTGAACTTGAAAACATTTATTTTTTAAATTATTAAAAAATTTTAACGTAGAGATTTTATTTATGTTCAATGTTTTTCTTTTAAGGAAGCTTGGATGGCGTCTCTGAATCTAAGTTGCAAATCTGTGTTGAACCAAGGTCCCAAAAGCTGATGCCTGGTAGCACCTTGGTCTTACAGTGTGTCGCTGTTGGAAGCCCTATTCCTCAGTACCAGTGGTTCAAAAATGAATCACCGTTGACGCATGAGACGAAAAAGCTATATATGGTAGGAAGTTGGTTTTGGGCTATTTTTTGTGTTAGTAGGTGAAATAAATAATATAATTGAAAATTAAGGTGCACATTAAAATTCATATTCTTTGGGGTTTTTTAATGTGTTCAGTATTTTTGTTTCAAGTCCCTGCTTCCTTGATATTAAGTGATTCTTATATTTGCAAAAGTGCTAGAATATACTGCCAGCCCACATCTAAGGGCTTATACTAAGTATTGCAGCAAACTCACCGTTATTAGAATCATTGTATCATTTGCTTGCTACTATTTAACCTAATTGAATGGAAATGATCTAAGAATGTCTAAAGCCTTCTGAAATTTTGTTTTGTAGTTTTTTAAAATACAAAATAACTTTTTCTCCAAGCAAATTTAAATTAAAATTGAAGAGGAAATGTGTGTGTTTTGATGTTGATGTAGGTGCCTTATGTGGATTTGGAACATCAAGGAACCTATTGGTGTCATGTTTATAACGATCGAGACAGTCAACATAGCAAGAAGGTAGAAATCATCATAGGTAAGCAGTGTTACTCAGTGTTCTGACAAATGGAGTATAATACAAGCTATATGAAAAGAGAAGTTTGAGCAATGGAAATTCTACTACTTGTTACCCCGTTCTATTTAATGATGTAAGTATCAGGAGTTATATTGTTTATCTAGAAATTTGAGAGAATGCATACAAAATTTATGATCTAGGTTGACATACAAAGAGCGGAAAGAATCAGGAAAAATTGTTTTATTTAGATCATTTTAGTTATTTTTGAATTTTATAGTTTATTTAAACATTTATGGCAAAAATGTATTTTTTAAAACTTTAGTTATAAAAAACTTGATATAGTGGGGAAAGATTTTTAGTAAAACATTTTTAAAAAACAAACATCACAGGGGCTGGCCCAGGGGTGTAGTGGTTAAGTTTGTGCACTCTGCTTCAGTGGCCCAGGGTTCGCCAGTTCAGGTCTTGGGCTCAGACCTACACACCGCTCGCTCATCAAGCCATGTTGTCGTGGTTTCCCACATACAAAATAGAGGAAAATTGGCACAGATGTTAGCTCAGGGCCAATCTTCCTCACTAAAAAAAAAGAAAAAGGAAAATCACAGACATATAAAGGAAAGAATGATTATTCACAACAATCCCCATTATGAAGTACATAATTTGGGAGTTTGTTCTATTTCAGCGTAATGCATTTATAGTTATGTTAATAGTAGGAGATGTTGATGCATATGTTGGTTTGCCAACATATTTCTGTGATATTTATCTCTCTGTTTGCTTGATGGCTGCCCTTCCTAAGATCATGAATTACAATATATTCACATTTGTTTTCTCTGGAACAAGGAAGAACAGATGAGGCAGTGGAGTGCACTGAAGGTAGTGTAATCCTTTGGTTTGAAACCAAATATCCTGCATGCTGGTTCCTCTGGGATTGGTAGAGTGCAGTGATGGAAAAAATACTAGCTATTAGAAGTAATTTTCATCGAAAGATATTGTATCTTAGTCTTTGAGGACTTGTAAATTGCCACAGACCATTAAACTGACACACTATTAAAATAACTCATTTTCACTTGATATGCTATTGCATATAAGAATAAAATTCCTGCACAACATCGTCTCAACAGTGAATTTGCAATTCTTAATGTTAATTTTTATCTTCATAAAATTTATAAAAAAGATAGATGTCTGTACCATCGTGGATCGTTGTTTAGATTATTTTATCTATTCTTGAGCCATGATAATATGCCTCTCAAACACAAATGTAGTTTCTATAAAAGTTTCAGCACAGGAGATTTATTGTTTAACTTGTTTTATCAAGTATTAAATATTTTGTTTTAAAATAAAATTGATAAGATCCATTTTTTGAAGCTACAAGGCTGTAGATTAATCTACCATGTCACTTTTACGTAATGTATAAAGAGAACTGAAAATCTATTTCAGCATAAGCTACTAATTTGTTGTAATTAACCAAAGCATTGTACATGAGTTGTATTGAGTAAATTTTAAAACTTATTTTCCCTTGGTATGATATCACATTGTTTTACAAAATTAAGTTTGTGGATAGCAAAGTATTTTTTCAATTTCTGCCTCTTTAAACTATTATATAACCTTAGGCTCTACTTGGGTGAATTAAGAAAATAATGTTAAATCTTAGGTTTCCTGGTTTTCCTGTCTTTCGTATCATTATGGTGGCACTTTGAATACTATAATTACTGCTTTCATCCCAACACGTTATCCTGAACCGGGATTCTCTAGCATAAGAGGATTCCAGTCCCGTGATCTCTGGGCCCTACCTGAGGGAAGCTATGGGAAGAAATCCTAACCAAACTCTTCTTCATTCTCTTACTTTTTTTTTTGCCTAGTTGCATGATTTTTAAAACTTCCTAACTTTGGCACCTTCTAAGAATAAACATAAACTAGCATTGCTGTTTTCAGGGTGGTGCTTGTAAGTTACCACTGGCTGTGCTGACTCTTTGCCTGCAAGATTCTCCCTATAATTTCTGCAGTAGGGAACACGCTACTAAATAATAATTTTCAAATAAATCTGTTCAGAACACTTAGAGATGAAAATCAAACTATCTACTCCAAAAATTTCAGAGGGAAAAATTAGATGCAACTTCTCTTTGTAAAAAAGTCTACAAAGTTGAGGCATTTTATAATTGGTGGATTGACACATACCGTAAACAGTGTCCTGCATCGTATCGTTTTTTACTTGTAGAACATGATGTTATCTATTTCATTTTACGTCTCTTATTAAAGATATTTCATCGGGACAGGGTGGGGATTGAATAGGTGAAGCTCAGGGGATTTTTTAGGGCAGTGAAACTATTCTCTGTGATCATTGTAATGATGAATACATGTGAGCAAGTTTAAAAAAATCGTTTAGTAGGAGGTCAGAGGAGGGGGGATCCCAGGATGGAATGCAAAATATGACCAAAAAACCTGAACGGATTACGAATGTCTAAAGCAACCTCACTGAAGAGGGGGAGGAAGAACAACGTGCTGACCTAAGTAACTGGAAATGAGTGACGTCTGTACGACAGAAGGCTGAAGAAATCGTACATCACCCTGTACTCCAGTTGATGCCTCTCCTGAGTTATCTTACATCACGTAGAAGAATAAGTTTCTGCGTAACATCTTAGGAATAGTATAACGTTTGTAGTTTATTGTTACTGTTCACTTTTATCTTCATAAGATTTGTAAAGGAAAGATAGATGACTATAATGTCGTGGATATTTGCTTAGATGATTTTATGTGTCCTTTAGCGAGAGGGTACAGGTTAACAATTCAGAAACCAGTTTACCTCCAAAAACACGTTACACCAGTCTAACTATGAGGAAAACATCAGCAAATCCCAATTGAGAGACATTCTACACAGTACCTCACCAGTACACCTCAAAACCGTCAAGGTCATCAAAAAGCAAGGAAAGTCTGAGAAACTGTCACAACGAAGAGGAGCCTAAGATGCCACGAGTAAATGTAATGTGGTGTCCTGAATGGGGTCTTGGAACAAAAAAGAACATTAATGGTTGTGACAATGTACTTTACTGACATGTTAAAAATAGGGAAACTGGGTATGGGTATATAGAGGAACTCTGCAATGTTGTCACATTAGTTCTGTAAATCTTAAACTGTTCTAAAGTTAAAAGTTTATTAAAAAAAGATCATTTGAGATTGTTAATTAGTTTCAAGAAGTTTATAGTTGAGGCCACAGACAGACCTCTCCCTTAACTGTTTTTGTCCCATAATTGACCAGAATATCTAAAACTTTGAACAAATTATGAGTCAGTGTATTTAGCTTTTTGCCATTTAATGAAGATAATAATAGCTAAGCAGTCCTAAATGATATCCACAACAGTGTGCTTTCCCATTCAGTATTTGCATGGCTTCTCCTTTAAGGCATTTGAAAAGTTCTAAACTGATGAAACATTATAACATTTAATAACTCAAAACCAAATACTCCTTTGATTAGTTTTACTGATTATTGTACAATTCACTATTACAGTTTACTTACTATTACTTACAATTTACTATAAATTGGCTGTTAGATTATTTAAAGCTAATCAATTTTCTCATTTCATTTTAGATGAGTTAAATCATCTTGGGCATCCCGGTGAGTAATATAAACGTAAAACATTAGTTTTAGACTTTTGAGTTATTGAATACAGTAAGTTAAAGATACTGTAGATATTCTTTTGCTATAGTAGTACTAGTTACTTTTTTCCTTTATTAAAATAATATCACAGGGGCCGGCCCCGTGGCCGAGTGGTTAAGTTTGTGCGCTCTGCTTTGGCAGCACAGGGTTTTGCCAGTTCAGATCCTGGGTGTGGACCTAGGACTGCTCATCAAGCCATGCTGAGGTGGCATCCCACATAGCACAGCAAGAAGGACCTACAGCTAGAATATACAACTATGTACTGGGGGGCTTTGGGGAGAAGAAGAGAAGAAAAAAAGAAGATTGGAAACAGATGTTAGCTGAGGTACCAATCTTTAAAAAACAAAAATAATAATATCATAATTTAGGCTTGAAATTAGTACTTACATGAAGTACAATTTCATGCAGGTGGAAATATTTACGATATTCTAGATTGTAAGACTATAAGGATAGAAAAGTAAGTATACTGAGATAATGTAGAATATCAATTTTTTTATCATTGTATATGATTCTATATCATAAAAGGCAGTTAATGGGGCAAGTGCCCATTTAATTTGAAATGATGAGAAACAAGTCTTTGAACAGTAACAGAGGTAACGTTTCTGAACTCGCCAGACCCCTGGGACCTTGTTCAGAGTCGCTCAATCATGGAACATATGAACTAGTTGAGTGGCGTCTTTATCTGAAGTAAAAGGTGTGTTAGTGGGAATAGTTGGCGCTATACAGATAAGTAGTTGGTCAGTGACCTTTAAGAGACTGACAGCCGGCAGAGGTATTCATCATTCTTTGGCCAGTTTTAATCAGAACAGATTTCTGAACAAGCTAAGCTAAAGGGAAAGCCTTAACTGAGATGAAAGAGGTGTTGATTGTGAGGATTCCATAAACACAGAGGAATCTGAAAGGCAGTGTTGGGATCTGTGAGTATATCTGAAAATAAGACCTTACAGGAGTAGATTCAGAAAGCAGTTATATCATTTCGTGTTTATAGAGAGCCCTCTTATTTCTCAACATGTTATTTCTCATTATTTTAGCACCCTAGCTGGCTTGCTTAGTTCCTTGCCCATGTTTTGTGAATAGAATCTATTGTGAGTGATGGTTGGGCTGTGCTGATGACATACAAGCAGATCAGGCAGACCAGAGGCCGCTGTCACCACACTGGTCTTGCCGAACCAACCTCGAGCTCAGGGGAAGCCTTGGTGAGACGTGCTTCAAACTCCAGACCCTCATGGTGCCAGAGACCATCCTGTCACGTAGCCGCTGGTTTCTCTTGGCCTGGTTAGAATCCTCCTTTCCTAAACTGGTCTGTTATTTCTCGCCCTTCAGTGAACGTTGTGAAAAGTTATTTCAGGAAAACCTTTGCAAACAGCCACCACTACGCTCTAAAATTTTCTTGGCCCTCTCTTTCGTTATATCCTTACTCCTCAAGATTCAGAAACACCAAAAAATTTGAGTTTTAAAAACAAAGAAGAATTTTAATAGACATCATTCAGTAGCATATGAATTATTAAAAATGCAAGCAAAGTTACCCTGTCTATGAGAGTAGACACATTACTGATTGAGCTCCCGCATTTCTTCCCTCGTGGTCCTCAGGGGTGGGAGGTGTTTCATTTTATGTGTAGGCAATGACAAAAGCGTGGACTGTAGAATGAGATCTGCTAGCTTGATAGCTTTGGATAAGTGACTTAATCTCTCCCTGCCTCAGAGTCCTTCTCTGTGTAATGGAGGTAACAGTAGTACAAACTTCATAGAGTGAAGGGAGGTCTATGTCAATCAGATGTATTTAAAGCACGTAGAACAGAGCCAGGCAGGCATTCAGTGAACATTAACTACTCCTGCGATTTCTTATTACCACCACCCACTGCAGGCAGACTGTAATTTCCACCTAGCACATTAAAGATGGTTACCCCCAGCTGTGGCAATTAATTACTAAAGACGTTCCCCTGCTCTGATTCCAACTCTGTCTAGCCAGGTATATGTTTTTATCAAGAATCTGAAAATCTTAAAATCGTAAGTTAGCTGTTGGACAACATATTCTATCTTGTTACTGTTCATTGCTTCCATACATCTCTAACCCTGAAGATATTTGAATCATGGATAATAACGTCTTAATTTTTTTGCATTTTTATCTTTTTATAGATAATAAAGAGCAAACAGCTGACCAGCCTTTGGGTGAGTAGAGCGTTAAAATGCTTGATTAAAATATCATTATAGTATATAACTCTTTTATGGTGATCGTGAAGGGATTTAAGACATTTTAATTTGACAGCTTTTATAAATATTTGAATAACACTGAGACCAAATGGTTTATTTTGGATATTTGTAAAAGAAATTATAGGACAGGAGGCTTAAAGAGATTATGAATTCAGTTTCTGGGACCAAGTCAGCTTCTGTGGAGTGATTTCTTTGTTTTGGCAACATGCAAACAAACCTATAAACGGAAAGAAACATGTATGTTGCATAGAAGTGAGAAATACTATCTCCTGGTGGGGTTAGATTACGAAAAAGCAGGGAGATTGCCCACAGCAGCTCTATGTTTTGAAGGATGAATAGGAGAAGGGCCTTCCAGGCAGAGAGAACATGAAATCCTAAGTACAGCGTTGTAGAGAATGAGACAGCCTGTTGAATTTGGGGAGCTGCAAGTAACACACAGTGCTCTGGAGCATAAAGAGAATGAGGCTAGAGAAGCAGAGTGAGACCAGATCTGGAGGAGCCCCATTTCCCAGGCAAGCCATTGGAAGGGAACTCTGATAGAGGGTGAATGAGATTTGTCTCTCTGAAAGACCAGTCTTGTGTCAGTGTAGAAAATAAACTGAAAGGAGAGGATGTTTTGGTTAGGCGAAAAATTAAGAGACTGTTGTAATAGTCTTGGTAAGAAATAATGGGAATCTAAACTAGAGTGGTACCAGTGAGAATTCAGAAGATAAAGAACAAATTCAGGAAGTCTTTAGGTGATGGAATCAGTAAGCTGTTTTTGTCACCTTGCTGTAGGTTCTAAAAAATAGAGAGAGGGTCTGGCCAAGTGGTGCAGTGGTTGAGTTTGTGCACTCTGTATCAGCAGCCCAAGGTTCACGGGTTTATCCCAGGCGTGGACCTACATACTGCTCATTAAACCATGCTGTGGCAGTGTCCCACATACAAAAATAGAGGAAGACTGGCATAGATGTTAGCTCAGTGATAGTCTTCCTCAAGCAAAAAGAGGAAGATTGGCAACAGATGTTAGCTCAGGGTCAATCTTCCTCACCAAAAAAAAGAAAGAAAGAAAAGAAAAGAAAACGTTTTTAAAAAAATAGAGAAGAATCACCATGTCTGCAAGGATTCTCGCTTGGACCACTGGGCGGATGGTGATAGAGCCCATTGAGTTAGACAATACAGAATCAAATGCAAGATTCAGAGGATAGATGACCATCAGTTTGCTCTCTAACCAGTTTGAGGTATTTGTGTCACATCTAGGTGAAGATACATAGCAAGCAGTTGTGTACATGGATCTGGAACACTAAGGAGAGGCCAGGATTGGAGATACAGTTAATGAGCATCGCCAGCATAGACATGGAAGTTAAAACCAAAGGGTAGCGTACATGAGCTTGCTACAAGCCATAGAGAAAAGGGCACAAACTGGCTAACCTGGGGGGGGTCTAATTTTTAACAATTAGACTCAGTTGTCACTGATCAGATATCATATAAAGTTCAGATTTCTAGGTTCTTTCGAAAAGTAATAGTGGCTGTTCCTTTAAAAGGGGCATGTGCTCCCGTTTTCCTCTTGTGAACATTGGGTCTTTACTCTCCCTCCCTCTCCCCTCCCTTCCTTCCCCACATGGTCTTGCCATGTGGCTAAATTTCTTTATATGGTGGGTGGCTGGATCCCAAAACCGGAAGCTGTCAGTATTCTTGAGGTTTAGACCCAGAACTTGTAGAGTGTTTTGCCACATTATGTTGTTCAGAGAGAATCACAGGGCAGCCCAGATTTGGGAGTAGGGGCTGGGGGCTGGGGTGAGGATGACCACACTAGGTGAGGGCAAGGATGCAGTGGTTCACTGGGGGCTGTCCTCTACTGCAGCTGGAGAGGGATGCATGAACTGGAGTGGGAGTGGCTTTGTTTGCCGGACTGAGGAACTTGGACTTATTTTGTAGGCCACGAGATTTAAGAGTTTAGGTATGAGACCAAGAGAGACACTATTTTCAACCAGATTTGATGCTAATATTCAATTTTGATAGACAGCCAAAGATTTTTTATTTAACAAATACTTATATAGCACTTAATAGGTGCCAGGCCCTTTTTCAGGTACTTGTGAATATTAATTCATTTTGGGTGAGATAAGATGAGTAACACACTATTAGAGTGATTAGACATGGAATTAATGCTGTAACGCTGTACCGGTTTTTAAAGAATACATGGCATTAAGCTTTGGAAGATGTCTAGGATCATGTAGTTAAAATATCTTTCTGAAGTGGTTTTATTCTATTGCTTAATCAACTGGCGTTTGTGTTTCTTTTTTCCAATAAATGGTTTGTGTTCAAGAAATTGTGGGTGGCTCTTACAGTAAATGTTTTTCTACAGAAAATTTCTTCCATTTTATCACTTGAAAACCAGCATAAATTGCTTATATAGTTGCTGTTTTGAAGTTTCCTTTGATTCTTCACTCTTATCTCCTCAACTTCAGATTTTGCAGTTTCTTTGTCTGTCGTCTCTCTAAAGTCTGACTTTTCCTTTCCCTTTCTTACAACTAACTCCTGGAATGAGTCTGTCATCTCTTATTTTGACCACTGCACTCTGCTTCTCTCTTCTCAATCCACCCCAGTTCGCCTGTCATTCAGGAACTGTTTTACAAGTAGATTGGGCAAGGTAAGATTTACTTACCCATTATCTTTATTACCATTAAACCTCAGAAAATACTCTAAGACATAGGAACTAGGTATTAAAAATTATTATTGAAGGGGCTGGCCCTGTAGCCAAGTTCCTGTGTTCTGCTTCAGCGGCCCAGGGTTTTGCCAGTTCGGATCCTGGGCGTGACATGGCACCACTCATCAGGCCATGCTGAGTCGGCATCCCACATAGCACAACCAGAAGGATCTACAACTATCTACTACGAGGCTTTGGGGAGAAGAAGAAGGAACCAATTATCATTGGAGGAGCTGGCCCAGTGGTGTAGTGGTTAAGTTCACGTGCTCCGCTTCAGTGGCCTGGGGTTCATGGGTTCAGATCCTGGACACAGACCTTGCAGTACTCATCAAAGCATGCTGAGGCGGCACCCCACATACAAAGTAGAGGAAGATTGCCACAGATGTTAGCCCAAGGCCAATCTTCCTCACCGAAAAATAAAATTTAAATTTAAAAAAATTATCATTGAGGAAAAATTTTTGAAGAGTTATGGTCAGTTGTTGACACATACATTTTAAGCCACACAGTTCTCAAGTTGTTGAACCCTTGCATTCTGTAAACTATACCAAGAGTTCTTTCCAAATAGATAAAAAATTGGTATTAGCAGAAACATGCTTAGTTTGACAACTAGCTTTTTTTCTGCAAAGACCCCAGTGATTTTTTTCTATCATATTCTTTATAATTGTTTTGTGCCAGTAAAACTTAGTCTAGCATATATATTAGAATTGAATTATGATAATATTCTACCAAAAAAACCCACTAGGATTTGCAAACACTTTACCACATGATAACTGTGGGAAGCCCATGATTTGGACTACAGTGGTATAAGCCAGAGACACATTCTCTTACTTCCCCTCACTTAGAAGTAGATTCAACTGAGTCCATCACTATATTGCACTCGGGTCTGAATTCTGATGGGGTTGATGGGCCTGTGAAAATGTGCACTGAGAATTTTCCTTCCATGGGTTAGCCAGCTAACAGTCTTGCATATAGTGAGTACTTGGTATAAGACCACATATCTAGTTTATTTAAGAAGAAACTTCTAAAAAAGGGAGACACAAGCAGTGTTAAATTTTATACTGCCTCCTTTCCTGAGTATTCTCAACTTTTACTGAACTGCAGCAAAAGTAAAGAATATAATATTCAACTCGACTTCTAGAGCAAATTTAACAAGGATGTTTAGAACTGGGTTCCTATTAAATTAGGTCCTGTTCTGTTGGCAAAAGAAGAAGCTAAATTCCATCCTGAATATTCTCAACTTTTTCATTGTTTTAGAACTAACGGTAGTTTAGCAGAAGCTTTCTGTCTGAATCCTTATATATGAAATAGTCTTGATAATTGGCCTTTTCTTTTGGGTAAAAGAAGAGATTATCATTTGTATAGGACTTGAAGTGACGTTCGTTGAATTAGAAATGTGGCATACGTATCATTTGATTTTTTTCTAAAGTGTGTGTACACATAAGAATAGGCAATTTTCAAGAAATCTTTAAAAATATAGCTATAGAAGGGTCATCCCAGTGGCACAGCAGTTAAGTTTGCACGTTCCACTTCAGTGGCCCAAGGTTCACCGGTTCAGATCCCAGGTGTGGACCTACGCACCACTTATCTGGCCATGCGGTGGCAGCATCCCACATATAAAGTAGAGGAAGATGGGCACAGGTGTTAGCTCAGATATTAGCAATCCTCAGCAAAAAGAGGAGGATTGACGGCAGATGTTAGCTCAGGGCTAATCTTCCTAAAAAAAAATAATAAGTATAGAATAAAGATACCATGACATAAAAGTATTGAGACTTTTCACAAAGTGTGGTTTTCTACCACTTTGAAAGAGTCGCATTCTTTGAATTGGTGCCAGTTTTTCCCCACACCTGTTTGACGCTAGATGTAAGTGTTCTGTAGAAAGAGAAGAAATTTCACCAAAGAGATTTTTGGTGAAATTTAATCAGTTGAATGATTTGAAACATCTGAAGTTCTATTACATATTGCAGACAAGTCAGCATTGTGATTATTTGTGTTTGTTTCAGTTTCATAAGCGTAGTATTCATAATAATTCATAAATAAACTGCTTAGCACTTTGTGACAGAGCTTGGTCACCCAGCCCTGGCCTGTGTCGGAAGGTGGCCTGCAGTCCTCCCCGGTGTGGCTGGAACCGCCAGATGCTCTTGTTCCGCCTTCTCCTCTGCTCCCTGGTGTCTCCATCACGGATTTATACCGTAACATGTGCTGCACACGCCCCGCTGCCAGTCCTCAGGGGAAACGTCACAACAGGTTCCTATTGTCATGGCACAGTCTCAAGTCCTTAACCTTTAACCACACCCCGGATTAGCGAAGGTGCAATTTTGAAAACCTCTTAAGCACTAAGCTGTGTCCAGCCTTCCCCAGCTGTTTTTGGACAACCTCTACAGCTGGTTAACTAGCCAGTACTTTTTAAGGGATGCCTGTGGATCTTTTTGCTTCTTAAAAACAGAACGTTCTTTGTATGAGAACGCATCTTTGAGCAAAGTCTCAGTGCACAAACGTCAGAAAATAAACTAAGATACTCATTCAAAAAGTCTTCACGGGGGCCCGCCCTGTGGCCGAGTGGTTAAGGTCGTGCGCTCCGCTGCGGCGGCCCAGGGTTTCGCTGGTTCAGATCCTGGGCATGGACATGGCACCGCTCGTCAGGCCACGGTGAGGCTGAGTCCTACATAGCACAACCAGAGGCACTCACAACTAGGATATACAACTATGTACTGGGGGGCTTTGGGGAGAAAAAGCAGAAAGAAGAGAGAAAAAAGAAGATTGACAACAGTTGTTAGCTCAGGTGCCAGTCTTTAAAAAAAAAAGTCTTCACAGATGACTAAGGTAGCTGCATCTCGCCCAAACAGAAGAAATTTTTTTTAAAGAACCTAAGAGGAGGCAGCGCATCACCTGATCGCATCCAGATGCAGTTCTTTCCCAGTTCCTGCTTCTCTCTCTGTGGCATTCCCGTGACTTGGTCTGATGCGAATTCCTTCTGTCCTTCTTTTTGGTATTTCTTTTGTTTTTAGCCTCTTTCTTTGTCAGCAAAACAGAACCTAACTTAATGCAAACGCAGTTCCAAATATCCCTTGCTAAATTTGCTCTCCAAGTCTAGCTGAATATTATATTCTTTACTTTTGTTGTGGTTCGATAAAAGTAATTACTTTAATATTAGTTATGATTTTGCTTCATATACAGCTAATGAGTATCCTTTCCATGATTCTGAGAAGTGTCAATAAGTTTAATTTCAGTTGTTTGATTTATTAGCCTCTATACAGTAGAGACTATTGATCTGCTACATAAAGTGATAATTCTAAGGTGAAATTAAATAATAATGAAATGTTATTTGTAAAGCATACTTTTTATTATAATGATACTGTTTCCATAGGTTTTATTTTAATCTTTATATCCGCCTTTAAATCCCTCTCCCCCGTTTTTTTAACAGCAAAGGACAAGGTTGCTCTTTTGATAGGAAATATGAATTACTGGGAGCACCCCAAGCTTAAAGCTCCTTTGGTGGATGTGTATGAATTGACCAACTTGTTAAGACAGCTGGATTTCAAAGTTGTTTCATTGTTGGATCTTACCGAATACGAGATGCGTAATGCTGTGGATGAATTTTTACTACTTTTAGACAAAGGAGTATATGGTAAGATATTTATAACCTTTGTTTTTATAATTATTCACTGTTCTTTTCATGGTACAAGTTAGATTAAGAGTTAAAAATCAGGAAGCTACAATAAACACGTTGTTGAAGAGTTTTATTCTTATAAAAAAAGATAGATTGGAATTTCATTCCATAGATCCATGTGAATAACTAATTAGCTTAATGTCTTTACTTTCATGTCTCTTATTTTGTCAAAACAATATTGTCCTTGTTAGAATCCTTACCTATCTTACGTGATTTTGTTTTTTAGTGACAAGAGCTACAGTATAGTAAAGCTCAACCAAATAGCAAATTGTTTGCTCAAATATGTAAACTACTACTGTGTGTGTGTGTGTGTGTGTGTGTGTTTGGAGTATAAAAGGTTGTAACTGAATGTACATTCTGTATGTTTGTTTCCTTTTTCTAACTATTGCACTATTATATTTCCTCGTATTTTAGTGGGAACTAGAATTTAACAAGGTAATGTTGGTGAATGAGGCATATGAAAACAATTTGTGAACTAAAGTTCAATACAGGTAGAGCTAAAGATGGACCTCCATAAAAATTGTAACTGTAAATTTTTAATGCTTTTTCTCCTCCTTTCATCTAAATATGTTAAGAACACTACATTTACGGTAAAGATTTTTTAAAGAGATTATGCTGTCAGTAATAGGTAATTTCTCTGGTAACTTATTTCTTTTAATGGGTATAACCACAAATGTGGGAAGGCCAGCTGTTGAGCTCATTTGAGCCGTATTTCACAGGGTTGTGCTTACCATGATATTGTGCAATAACATTTGACTGCCAGGAAAGTGACATTTTCAGGTCTATTGTTAGGCATGCCAGTGGTAAACAAAAAGTATCTATTTGGCTTCTATATCTTTGAAATTATTTTACTCCAATAACTTCTAAATTTAGTTGTTTATTTATAATTAGATTGATATCAGGAGGCAAGCTTGATGGAATTGCTAATGGGTCTCAAAGGAGTATTTTTACTGGAAGAAAACCAGTTTTTTTCAAGATTTAACACATGACTGTGTATGGGATAGGAGAGAATCTCAAAATCTTATTTAAATGAGTTTCCTCTTAAATAATAAGGATTACTGTTGTCCCACAAATAAGTCAACAAAGTAAATACCTCAAATTTGGGATTTCAAATATTACGTTGATGTCATAATAACAGTCCTGCTTATGAGTGTATAGAGTGCTGACTCTGGGTGAGTCCATTCATTTTTTTAATGAAAACAGGAGAGACTACACAGATGTGCCCCCTTGGTAATTGGTTTGTAGTTTTAGTCTAGAATAAGGTGGTGGTTTCATTATTTTTATATTATGTAATTTATCTAGTTTTTAAAGTGCCTAGATGGCGTAAGCAGGAATAAGCTTCTTAAACTTCACTAAAAGTAATGAGGTAAAAGGAAAAAGTATTAACCAATTTAGGTTTTTGGATTGCTGAAGTATTTTAGGAGTGAGGGAATTTTATGAAGAATTATGTACTTGATTATTTATTCTCATTTCTTACTGACATTGTCACCTTGGCTTTACATCTTTTGTTTAGCTTTTTAAATCCGAACTTTTCATCGCCCCTGCAAAGTAGACAACCAGAAATATTAAAAAAGTTGTGACGAGAAGAGTTCAGCTTTATGCTGAAGTTTTGCCCCAGTATAAAAACATCATCTTGGAATATGGAATAAAGGGGCATATTAAAGCCAACTGGCAGCTTAAGAAAGCCGGAAGGTTTTTAAAATCCTGCTGATTCATGTCTTAACAGCGTGGCTGCATTATATTTTGAAGTATTGTGAATATCCCAAACATCAGACACATCTACATTACATGTAAGTGTGGTAGTGAAGGGAGTAGGGTGTTTCTCCTGGCCTGTGCCTTTACCTCAGCTGATAGCCCAGGTGACTAGTGGTACTTGGGGGCGGCGGGGAGGTGGAGGCAGAGCATAGCAATTTCAGCATGAACAACTTTAGATATGGAAAACATAGGCACTCAAGTTTATGCCCTTTTATATTATATAGCCCGTGGGTTTATCAAAGAATCAAAAGTTGCAACGGAACAGAAAATAAGTAATACACTTTTAAACATATATACACATAAAAAACACGATCTAAGAACAGAAATAACTGACTTATACTACATGTCCTTGAAGATAAATAGGGATAAAGATTTCCAGTTATCTTATACAGATAGCTACAATAGAGAGTAGCAGTTTGGCCTCATATCCACCCCACCCAATGCCTTGCTACATCCATTGCTGGCTGCAGCTTAGCTGTGCTTTTGTGGGGAAGATTGTTAGAGGAGTCTGGTCAGAGTATGGCAGAGCCGTCCAGTGTAGCCTGGAGGTTAAGCAGTGGGCCTCGGAGTAGGCTAGCCTGCTTTCATGCTCTGGCTTTTCTGCTCGCTGACTGTGTGACCATGACCAAGTTATTTCACTTTTCTAAGCCAAAAAGGATTTATAAAATGGATAGACTAAATAAGGTAGTTACAGAATAAATAAGATAAAATAATTATCCTTGTGCCTGACACACTAAAAATGCTCAAAATATTGTAGCTATTATTATTGTAACTTCCTGAATTCAAGTTTTCCTTCATCTTTAAATGGGGAATTTGAACTAGGTAGCATTCTACTTCAGGCCTCAAAAACAGAAAGAAACCTAGCTTTCATAAGTTTTTGTATTTTAAAGTTCAGCCTAAGACTTCATTTGAAAAAAAGAAGGGGTTTTTAAAGTGATAGTCTAGTGAAGCCATGAAAAACCAGTACACTTTTGTTTTTTATTTTCTGAGAGGAAAGTTAACTAGAAAGCCACAGCAGATTATAAAGAGACAATATAATATAACACAGTGGTTAATCTGGCCGGCATTCAAATTCTGGTTCTAGCACTTATTAGTCTGTGAATTTGGGTAAACTGTTAAACCTCTCAGTGTCTCAGTTTTCACCTCTGTGAAAGGGAGATGATAGTATTACCCACCCTGTTATGAGGTGTGTGTTAGGAGGGTTATATGAGCTAATGTATAATTAAAGCACTTTCTTCAAGCAGTGCCGGCACACAGTAAGAGTGGTGTAGGTCGATGGCGGTGATGGTGGTGGATGTTGTGATCAGTCACTGTTCTAGGTACACTGCAGCTTAGCTCAAGTGGGAGTCTTCCACTTAAACAGTTATTTTCTATGTAGACAAAAATAAATATCTGTGACAAACTGTATTCTTGGAAATCATGTTCCCAAGAACTAAAATTCCCTAAAGATCTCATTCATAGGATGACATTTCTAACCACATTAAATCCTTCGTCATTTATAAAGATATCTATTTTGTCTTTTTGTCCTTATTAAATTAATAAGCAGTACTAGAGATGGAATTTTTTTTTTTCTTTTTTGAGGAAGATTAGCCCTGAGCTAACTGCTGCCAATCCTCCTCTTTTCGGTGAGGAAGACTGGCCCTGAGCTAACATCCGTGCCCATCTTCCTCTACTTTATACGTGGGACGCCTACCACAGCATGGCATGCCAAGCAGTGCCATGTCCACACCTGGGATCTGAACTGGCGAACCCCAGGCCGCTGAGAAGCGGAACGTGCACACTTAACCACCGCGCCACCAGGCCAGCCCCAAGATGGAATTTTTAAAATACTATTTGGTCTAGTTTATTTCACATCAAATGTTTAATTTCCTAATTATATTGCATTTAGACTTTGATACAAAATGCTTATGCTTTTCATAAATCATTTTGAGGTGGAGAAAAGGCATTGCTTATAAGTGCCTTAATTCAGCAACTACAGTTATGGACCACACTTAGCTTTCCCTGGGTGAAGGAGGCTAAACCTTCCCTCACAGTTGCTGCCTCTCCCAAGTTGTTCTGCCAGAGCCAGACGTGTTAAGTAATACACTGGAAGCAACACCCAAGCTTTCTGGTTGGCTGTCTCTAATATCACTTGTAGAAATGGTACCATTTCTACTGAAAATCACACCCTTCATGGAAAGATCTCCAGATCTACCTGTCTCCTGATCAGTTGGCATTGTTAATTTAATGCATTCAATAAGTATTTATTGAGTTCCTATTATATCTATATCCTAGATAAGGAGTATGCTAGGTGTTGAGAAACGTACAGAAAAACCATGATCCGTATGCTTAAGAAAATTATAAGTCCTTTTATATAATGTGAAAAACAAATGCTATATATATGGAGTCCAAACGCCTATCAGCTATATGATTTTAAGCAAATCATTTAATCTTTTTATATTTAATTTTCACATCTATAAAATAGGGATAGAAATCATTTAAAAATTGTTATATGAATTAAAATCAGATCATGTATATGAAGGTGCTTTGAAAACCATGAAAGTACGATACAAATGTATAAGATTAATGTCTTTATTATGATCGCTTTTTATCAGAGAAATTAAATAGTCATAGAAATGTAAAGTGTCAATAAAAGCCAGTATGTAGTTAAGTGTTCAAGAGTGCTGCTGCTGGCTTTCACAGTCGGAGAGACTGAAGTGTGTTAGAAAGCTAGACACCGGGGACAGCTTGCGGAGAGTTCCGAACTTGAGATAACCCTTGAGGATTGGTTGTGATTTGCGTAGATGGAAAAGAGATAGAGTAACATGATCGGGGCCATGGAGGTTAAAAATAAACGTATCTTGCTGTAGAAGCAGTAAAGAGACTGATGAGGAATAGAATCATATTTTGAATACTTGATAAAGGAGTATAAATTTTACTCTTTTAAAGTGTACAATTCAGTGGTTTTTAGAATATTCACAGAGTTGTGCATCAGTCACCTGATTCCAGAACATTTTCATCACCCCAAAAAGAATCCCCAAATCCATTATCCATTAGCAAACCCCATATCCATAATCACGTGTCCCTTAACCCCATATCCATTCTCTTTACGCTAACCCCCTGGCAACAGCAAAATCTACTTTCCATCACTATGGATTTGCCTATTTGAGACATTGCATAGAAATGGAATCATTCTGGATGCCTCCTTTTCTGTCTGGCTTCCTTCACTTAGCATGTTTTCACGGTTCGTCCATGTTGTACAATTATTTTTATGGTTGGATAGTCTTCCGTTGTGTGGATATGCCACATTTTGTTTATTCATTCACCAGCAGATGGACGTTTAGGTTGTTTCCTTTTTGGGGGTATTAGAAATAATGCTGCTGTCAACATTGGGCACACACTCTTGTCTGGACACGTTTTCAGCTCTCTTGGGTATATACCTGGGAGTAGAATTGCTGGGTCATATGATAATTCTGAGTTTAACTTTTGGAGGAACTGCCTAATACTTTCCCAAGTGCCTGCACTATTGTGTATTCCTGCAGAAGTAAGATAGTTCCAGTTTCTCTACATCCTTGCCAACACTTACTGCCTTTTTGATTGTAGCTGTCCTAGTAAGTGCAAAGTGATATCTCATTGTTTTGTTTTGCGTTTCCCTAATGGTTAATGATGTTGAGCATCTTTTTGTGTGCTTATTTGCCATTTGTATATCCTCTGAATGTTTATTCAGTTCTCATTTTCTAATTGAGTGATCTTTTTACTGTTGAGTTGAAGAGTTGTTTTTAATATTCTGGATACAAGTTGTGCTTAGATGATTTGCAAATGTTTTCTTGTGGGTTGTCTTTCCACTTACTTGCTCTTCATTGCTTAGTGAATTAATCCCACTCCCTGTGTCATGATTTTCAAAATGCTCCCTGTATGTGCGCTCTCACTTTCATTTACAAAGATAATTTAATTCCTTGCCAGGCTAGTCTCCTTTCTGTTAGCTTCAGGTCCAAGCCTTGTTTGTTTCTGTTCTGCCTGCCTATAACATACCTTACTCTCTCTGCCTTTCTGGATTGTACCCGTTCTCTCAAGACCATCCGTTAGTACTTTACCTCACACTCATACTCCTCTCTGCAGTTTATTCATTTCCTACAGGATTGCGCTAATCACATGATTTATGGTATTTAATCATATGCTGACTTTCTTTGTTGCTTAGCTAACAACATGAGCATGCCTGAATGAGTTGCAGCATCCTCAGGGCCAGAAACTTTGTCTTCCTTTTCTTTTTCGTTCCCTCCATAGCTACATGATAATACGTAGGGCACGAGGTATAGAATAAACCCTCACTGAATTAATAGGTGTGTCCATTTTGTCATTTTTTTATCCGAAATGTTACATATGAAAGAACCATTTTTCTTATTTTAATAGGAGTTCAAGAAAAGTGAGAAGACTTGGATCCTGCCCTCTAGGGCCAAATGAAGCACATTTTCTTTAGTATTCGAGGCCGCGTTCTCTGCTAGGAGTTGGGACCATAGCTACAAAGGATTAGGGCTTTTTGTTCCCTATCTAAATGCCTTTTACTGTTAACTGTAGCATAGCACATGACGATGTCATTACATCCAGAAGATTGAGAGAGCAAAATTAGTGCACTCTACAGATTGCATGCTTAAGGGAATGTGTCTTCACAAGTATTTCGATCAAAGATTTTTGTAAGGAAGCCCAAACTACTATTTTCATCATTATTTTTTACAGCCAAAACAAACTTCTTTTCACAAAAGTATTTAGAGTTGTTTGGTCCAGTTTTTATAATATCATTTTTCAATAAAGAAATAATGACTCATCTCTTTAATACTAAAACTAACCCGGGGCTGGCCCCGTGGCTGAGTGGTGAAGTTCGCGCACTCCGCTTCAGCGGCCCAGGGTTTCGCCAGTTCGAATCCTGGGCGAGGACATGGCATCATTCATCAGGCCATGCTGAGGGAGCATCCCACATGCCACAACTAGAAGGACCCACTACTAAAAATACACAACTATGTACCGGGGGGCTTTGGGGAGAAAACGGAAAAATAAAAAATCTTTAAAACTAACCCAAATTTTAGATTATTAATTTAAGAGATGCTAAATGGAAAATTAATAATATTTATATCTCACAACAAAAAGAAGAAATAATCCATGAAATCAGATTTCCCCTCTCTGCTTAGAAAAAGCTACATTTATATTATATAACCATTGCTTTATATCGTATGGAAATGCCTATGGAATTTCTTAAACACTTGATACTGCAGTTACTTTTCATCGGAATTGTGTTTATTTGTTCACCTGTTGAATACTTAACTAAGCTCCTGCTCTGTGCCAGGAATCCACAGGTAATGTAAGGCTGCCCCTGTCCTGAAGGAGCTCCTGGTCTCGGGGAGGAGACAGATGAGTGTGCAAAGTCCTTAGCCCTTTTCTTTTTATACATGATGAAATAGAATTGCATTCCATGTTATATCATTGGTTACAAATGTATTACTTCTGTGAATTAAAATAGACTTCAGGACAGCATCTAGAGTTGGTTTAAAATACAATACTTAAATGAAGACTGTTGCCAAAATAATCTTCAATGCAAATATAGTTAACATTGACCGTACTTATAATTGGGTATCTCTTAAATAAGCTCACATTAACTTGAAGGAAATAAAAGTCATGATTGGGGCTGGCCCAGTGGCGCAGCGGTTAAGGGCTCACGTTCTGCTTCGGCGGCCCAGGGTTCCCTGGTTCGGATCCCGGGTGCGGACATGGCACTGCTGTGGCAGGTGTCCCATGTATAAAGTAGAGAAAGATGGGCATGGATGTTAGCTCAGGGCCAGTCTTCCTTGGCAAGAAGAGGAGGATTGGCAGATGTTAGCTCAGGGCTAATCTTCCTCAAAAGAAAAAAAAAAAGTCACGGTTTTTTTTTTAAGAGAGTTGCTACATACGTGTTCAGAGTGTAATTTAGAATTAACTTTTACCTCTTGTTTTCCTTTTCAGGATTATTATATTATGCAGGGCATGGTTATGAAAACTTTGGGAACAGCTTTATGGTTCCTGTTGATGCTCCAAATCCATATAGGTCTGAAAACTGCCTCTGTGTACAGAATATACTGAAATTAATGCAAGAAAAAGAAACTGGACTCAATGTGTTCTTGTTGGATATGTGTAGGAAAAGGTAAACTGTCTAATCTTTATTAAACAAAGCTGCTTGGAGTTAAATACCAACCTTGAAATATTAAATCTAAGGCAAACCTGTGAATGCTAAGACCACTTCAGTTTGTAAATTTTAGATTATAGATTGAAACTGATTAAGAGGAAACTAGAGGAAAATATATTTTCTCTATGCATATTTCATTATTTTAACTTTTTTCCTATCTGCTGTAGAACAAAAGCGAGGAACTAGGGGGCGTGGGTATTTGCTCAGACTACAAAGACACCTCTCCTCAGATGCCTCTAACATTCGCTGCAGTTGTCCCCCAGGAAGTGACAGAAACAACACCCGTAGAGTTGGGGCTGTGGTCCCTCTGGTCAGTCCTGGTCTGGCAGACATAGAAAGTTTAGCTGAGCCAGACTTTTGAAGGTTTGGATCTTGTCTGTCTGCCAATGTGTTACTAAGGAATAGAACCAATGATGATTCCTCTCACATATACAGTTTTTTTCGTGCTGAGCATTTACCAACCAAAATCCAATGCCAGAGTTCGAACATAACTCCAGCTTTAAAGCCAACAAGAGAAAAGAGGTGACTGTCTGCTGTCGCAGCAGTGTAGGAGCCCTGGATTATTTTTGATAAATATGTAACTGACTAGATAAAGGAATTTTGAATCTGTAATTTTAAATTATGTATAATAGAATAGTGTCATATTTTTCATTATGTATTATATTCATATTTATGTCTGTCCTTCTCCCCTCCTACCTTTTAAATAGAAATGACTACGATGACACCATTCCGATCTTGGACGCACTGAAAGTCACTGCCAATATTGTGTTTGGATATGCCACGTAAGAAAATCTTATGTTTGTGTTGATGATTCCTTCATTTTTCCATGACTTCTCTTTGATTGTAGATTAGAGGCCTAGAAATATTCATAGACATCCAGGCATAAATTTGCCTCCTTGATATTCTTGATAAAAAATTTTAAATAACTGACTTTACATCTTGGCATCCTTTTTTTTTTTACTAAGGGCCAAAGTGTTTGGTTCTTGCTTAAAGATTAACTCTAATTAGGATGTCATGTGAGAGACAGGGGAGTGAATGAAGCTCATTAGTATTTTTAGAAGCCTCATGTGGCAAGTGTTTGCTTTTTAAAAATTTCTTTCTTTTTCTGTTTTTAAGGTGTCAAGGAGCAGAAGCTTTTGAAATCCAGCATTCTGGATTGGCAAATGGAATCTTCATGAAATTTTTAAAAGATAGATTATTAGAAGACAAGAAAATTACTGTGTTACTGGATGAAGTTGCAGAAGGTAAAATAAAGAAGAGAAAGGTTCTCAGGGTTCTCTGTTTGGTAATTATTCCTACTGTTATTGCACAGGTTTGAAATTAGTATTTATTTTCATTAAACTGTTTTTTCATATAGTGTTCAGCAACATTCCCGTTTAATTCCTTCCTTCCCTGTTGACTTCGCTGCATGTCATCTGTGCAGCATTGCTTGAATTACAAGGCTGACCAGATACGAATGTGAAATAAATGAGGTTTATCCTCAGAGCTCTTTACCTTGTTTCTGTGCCTGTTGCTGCCCAGTCTACTTATTTGCAAAAAAAAACTGTTCGATGAGCGTCCTTTCCCAGGATCAGGTAGATGAAACAGAAATTTTGAGACGCTGGTGGAAAAAGCTAGGTTCATTTTTTTTCTTGATGAACTTGGTCAGTGGTTTTAAAATGCCACTTTAAGGACATGACCCTAGAGGTCTGACACCGTGTCTCCATTTCTTTCCGTCCCTTTCCTTGCCTGCCCAGTGTAATGCTGTGCGTGCGCCAGGTGTGATAAGTACATATTACATCAATCGATTCACCTGTGTTTTTTGAAATACGTTTTATAAGCCATATCAGAAAGAAGCTACTGCCTTTGCAAGCCAGCTCACTAGAAAATGGAGTTTCATGAATGTTCCAACGATGGCACCTTGAGTACAAAGTATCTGAGTTTTTCATTAACAGCTGCTAGTCATAGTTGCTTATTTTCCTGTTTTTATCAGTGCAGATCTTTTAGCTGGATCACTTGACTTCACCACTTTCCCGTTTAACATAGACGCCAGGGCTTTTGACCTGCTTCTTCAACCAGAGAAGTTCCGCTTTTATCTGTTTTACGTATTGGGCTTCTGTTTAAGCTCTCATTTGAAGAAAAGATTCTTCTGCTTAAAAAAATAAAGCCTTTGGAATATGTCAGTTATTTTCAAACTGAGATCTATGAAGGTGCTTCAGAAACTCTAAAATGTTTTATTGTAATTTTTTTAATATAATGTAACTATTTTAAAACTTAATAAAAATCACCAGTTTCCCTATATATGATGTATACCAGCTTGTGTCAGTGATAGCATCCCAGTGTGAGCTTTGAGTTTATATTTGAACTTCTGGATTATTTTTTATTTTATCTATATTTTATTATATATTGATATGTTAATATATTTTTATTTTATGTATTTTATGATATATTCATATCTTATGGAATACTTAATTAAAAAGTCCTCAAGGAAAAAAAGGTATTCAGAGATCATAAGCCAAGGAGTTGAGGGGGAAAAAACCACCTTTCCAGGTTCAATTGTGTCCAAGTGAAACTAAATATGAAATAAATTCGTTGCTGCTGTGAGACTGCAGCTGTCTGTCTATAACCCTAGATTGTGGTTTTTGTATTACTCTGGACAGCCTTATTATTAAGTTGATTGAAATTGCAAAATAAATGCTTACCTATCTAATTCTTAGAGTATGGCATTTAAGATACCCAAAAACCATCTTGCTGTATAAACTCCAAGACCTACTAGAAAAAAACATTTATTCAATTAGTGAGGTTAGTTATTTTTCATGAAATTACCTTTGAACATAACGTTGACAGTTTTTGTTGTGAGTGGATGTTTGATGTGAATCTAAGATAACAGTAAGCTAATCTAAGGATATGTTCCCTCTACCTCTTTCCCTGCCTCCCCTCATGTGGTAACCATCATTCTAAATCTTGTTTGTCATTCCCTTGATTTGCTTCTTACATAGTTTTATTGAGTTTATATATATATCTGCAAAGAATATGTATATTTTTATTTTAGTTGTTCTTAACTTTATAAAAAGTTATGCTCTGTGTAGTCTTTTGGGACTTGAATTTTTTTAATTATATTATATTACTAAGCTTGATCCATATTGTTGTGTGGCTGTAGTTCACTCATTTCGACTGCTATGTGATATTCTACTTTGCAAAGGTGCTACAGGCTTTTCAACTGCTCTCCTGTTGGTGGGCATTTGAGTTACAGCTGCTTTTTTGCTATTGTAAACAATGCTATCGTAACGTTCTCTTATATGTCTCCTGGAGTATCTATGCAAGAGTTTTTTGGGGGGCTGGGCTGGTGGCACAGCAGTTAAGTGTGCACGTTCCGCTTTAGCAGCCCGGGGTTCCCTGGTTCGGATCCCAGGCGTGGACCTGCACACCACTTGTCAAGCCATGCTGTGGTAGGCGTCCCACATATAAAGTAGAGGAAGATGGGCACAGATGTGAGCTCAGGGCCAGTCTTCCTCAGCAAAAAGAGGAGGATTGGCAGCAGATGTTAGCTCAGGGCTAATCTTCCTCAAAAAAAAGAGTTTCTTTGCTATATAAATCTAATATTTGTAGTATCTGGGTGTTCAATTTTAAGAGATAATGCCAAACTGTTTTGCAAAGTGGTTGCACCAATCTATACTTACCCCCTCCCCCATAATGTACAAGAGATGATGTAAATCTGCACTCTCTCCATCACTTCTTATGTCAGACATTTTCATTTTTGCCAATTGATGTTAAATAGTATTTCACTGTGGTTTTGATTTGGCTTTTCCTGACTATTAGTGATTTGAACATCTGTTCATGTTTTTAATGGTAATATCTATATCTTCTTATGTGAAAATCTGTTTATGTCTTTTGTCCATTTTTGTATGGTCGTGTTTTTGCTTTGCTTATTGATTTAGAGGAATTCTATGTTCTTAATGTCATACTAGCTAGGACCTCTGGGACATTATTAAAAAGAAGTATTAGTGTAGACATCCTTGCCTTATTTCTGATTTTAAAGGGAATGCTTCTAATGTTTTCACGTTTAGAATAACTGGATTTTTTAAATCCAATCTGATAATCTTTGTTTTTCAACTAGAAAATTTAGTTCAATTACATTTATTGTGGGCTTTTTGTACCTGTTTTAATCATTGATTTTTTGTGATTGACTCATCTTCCTTTTTCATCTTTTTTCATCGATTTCTGTGTCTCCTCTCTCGTGACTATAGTTATTTTAGCACACGCTCACCACCCTTAGCCTCCCTCCTCAACCTCCAACATGCTGATGCGACTTAGACTCAACTCTCGATTGCTGCATTCCTCGCTCCCTCTCTCTTTCTCTCTCTCTATATTTCTATCTCTGTCTCTCTCTAATCTCACTAATGTTGAAAGATGGCAAACACATTTGGAATCTTTTTTCTGAATAAAACGGATACTCTTAATTTTGTCTTTTTTCCCAATAAATAACTACTTTCCCTAAACCAGATATTATTGTTTAACTTATTATTTATTAATAATGTGTACAGAAATAAGATCATAAACTGTAATTTATTCATACAGTGTTTTTATAAATTTAAATTGAGATTTATCAATATTCCAAAGTCTGTCTCTAAGCCGTGTTGATTGAAAATAGCACATCCCAGAAGCATGTGTATAACATAGCATTTTTAAGTTCAAAACCTAAAACATTGACACATACTATTTACTATTACCTACACATGGGCAAAAATTAAAATATGTATGGGAGTATACACAGTACATTGGGTAATGATTACTTCAAGCTAGGGGAGGGCAGTGGTGATGCTTTAACTGTCTTGGTGGTTTTAACACATTATTTCCTTTTTTAAAACTAAATCTGAGGTGGGGCCAGCCTGGTGGCATAGTGGTTAAGTTCACGCACTCTGCGTTGGCATCCTAGGGTTCGGGGGGTCAGATCTCAGGTGCGGACCTATGGACCGCTTATCAAGCCATTCTGTGGCAGCATCCCACATATAAAATAGAGGAAGATGGGCACAGATGTTAGCTCTGAGCCAATCTTCCTCAGCAAAAAGAGGAGGATTGGCAGTGGATGTTAGCTCAGGGCTAATCTTCCTCAAAACAAAAAGAAAATCAAATAAATAAATCTGAGGTAAAGACAGCATGCTATTTTAACTTTCTCATAGATGTGTAGTCATTTGTTTACTCTGAACATATTTCTCAACAGAGTATAGATGTAAAATTATCATGGCTGCGTTTTCAGTAAAGAAATATACTTTCAGCTCTTTGTGAACTTCAAGGCTTAGAATATTAGGGATTCATTAAGAGAATTATAGAAGATAAAAGCTAGAAAGGGACCTTAGGAAATGAACGGGTCCAATATTTTTGTCTCTTTGCTCACTGCCATATTCCAACCACTTTGAACCATGCCCAGCACATAGTAGGTGCTTAGTAAATATTTGTTGGGTGAATAAGTGATATTGAGACTATAAACTGGTTGGTAGGGGAGTTCTTGGCCTAATATTTGAAACCTAATGAAAAGATTTTGGTCTTAAAAATAACATTCACTTCTTATCTTTTAGATATGGGTAAATGTCACCTTACCAAAGGCAAACAGGCTCTAGAGATTCGAAGTAGCTTATCTGAAAAGAGAGCACTGACGGATCCAATACAGGGAACAGCATATTCTGCAGAGTCTCTGGTGCGGAACCTACAGTGGGCCAAGGCACATGGTACAGTACAGCCTATTTTTGTGAAGTCTTTCTATAATAAACTTTTATTAAATCATGAATTTTTTTTCCTCCTGAATATACAACTTTCCTCCCAATTTTGTAGTGAAAATATTTTAGCCTGGGCAAATCCAAGACTAAAAAATGTTTCCATTATAGATATTAGACTGATTTATTTGATATTGGACATATTATTTAACCCATTATTTTTACCATTGGTAAAGTTAAAATATAATCATTTCTAAATTATTCTATTTTTAAAATAATTTTTAATTTGTCTCATGTAGTCCCTTAGACCTTCCTGTCTGAGAGCTGTTGCAGTGTGCTGTTTCCAAAATGAGACAGGCCTGAGTTCTGATCCTATCTGAGAGCTGTTCCAGTGTGCTGTTTCCAAAATGAGACAGGCCTGAGTTCTGATCCTGTCTCTCCCAACCACTCGATAAGCCTGTTACCTATAAAATGGGGACAGGAAATAGTACTTTACTTAATAGGGTTGTTGCTACTGAATAAGATCGCACATGTAAAGAGACAGCTTGGTGGTCAGCAAATACTGTTTGCTTATGAATACTACTTAGCATTCCCTCGGAAATTCCTAAGCATTCTGACGCTTGAAGCAGTGAGTTAGTGATCAAGAGAAAAGAAGGTGAGGTAGAAATCATATCTGTAGCTTAATTGCCTTTGGTAATTCTATGTGATTTAGTGAAAAAGTAACTTTGATTTATTAACTGAAATAAAGATTTTTCAGTTTTCTATGAGTCCCAAATATTTATGCTGGCAATCCCCTATTATAGATAATTGAAAATTAATTGTATTTGTTGAACTTCTATATAGTATCGTTTTTCTCATGACAGTCTGTTCTCTGAGATATATTTTTGGTAAATTAACATGTAAATTAAAATGTAAAATGCCATAAATATATTATCTTGACATTTCAAATAATCGAATAAGTAATTGAAATTGATTTTTTTCCTTTAAAAATGCTCTAAACAACAACAGTAACAAAATCACGGTGGTAAAGATCAACGGTAAACAAAAGCTTTTTCAAAATGAAACTAAAAGGTCAGATAGAAAGTATTTGTAACAAATTTGGTAAGTAGACAATTTTTTATAATAAAGAGCTTATGCAAAATGATAAGACAAAAACACAAAGATCCTCTCAATTAAAAAGAAAATTAAAACTATGATGGTATAATTCTTTCCTTTTTTAATCCTGTCAAATAGGCAAACATTTTAAAAATTTAAGTTACCTTGTTTTGGAAATGTTATGTAAAACTAGTATATTTATATTCTGTATAAATGGAAAACTGTCACATGTGAGGAACTATCAAATAGCTGTATCCAACAATCCTAAAGCATTAGGTATGTGTAAGAAGTAAAGACTATGACAGAAAAACAAAGTAAAACCCAGAAATATTATAGATATTCCAGAGTAACAGAACTGTTAATGGTAATAAACTATTCAGTGACATTATGCTATATTAAAAACTATTTTCATGAAGATTGAGGCAATAGTGAAAATACATCTACAATTGTATGTATACTTTTGATTACCACTGTACAAATTATATATGCAGAGGGACAAGAACTGGAAGAAAACAGTAAATGAAAGATTTTTGCTTGACCAGCAGAATATTGAGCTTTCCTTCTATGTGTATGTGTGTGTGTCTTTAAATAATATGTTAGTTATATAACATTTTTAAGCAAAAGAAAAAGGTCTAGCTGTATTTTGCCCCATAAAGAATATTTGGGGGCCGGCCACGTGGCTGAGTGGTTAAGTTCACATGCTGCAGTTTGGTGGCCCAGGGTTTCACCGTTCAGATCCTGGGCGCGGACCTAGCACCACTCGTCAAGCCATGCTGAAGCGGCGTCCCACACAGCACAACCAGAAGGGCCTAAAACTAGAATATACAACTGTGTACTGGGGGGCTTTGGGGAGAAGAAGGAGGAGGAAAAAAAGAAAATAGATTGGCAACAGATGTTAGCTCAGGTGCCAATCTTTAAAAAAAAAAGAATATTTGTTTGCTCCTTATCGGAAAACTTACCAAGCACCCTTTAAATAGTTATTTATAAGTTGTTCTTATTGTTCTTTTTCAGAACTTCCAGAAAGTATGTGTCTTAAATTTCAATGTGGCGTTCAGATTCAGTTAGGATTTGCAGCTGAGTTTTCCAATGTCATGATAATCTATACAAGTATAGTCCACAAACCACCTGATATAATGATGTGCGACGCCTATGTTACTGATTTTCCACTTGTAAGTCTCTCCTTTTCTCTTTCATTGTAAATGTAAGGATATATCCTCACTTATTAAAGACTTAATTTTTGGGGGCTGGCCCAGTGTGCAGCGGTTAAGTTTGCACGTTCTGCTTCTTGGCAACCCAGGGTTCACCAGTTCAGATCCCAGGTGCAGACATGGCACCGCTTGGCAAAAGCCATGCTGTGGTAGGCGTCCCACATATAAAGTAGAGGAAGATGGGCACGGATGTTAGCTCAGGGCCAGCCTTCCTCAGCAAAAAGAGGAGGATTGGCAGTAGTTAGCTCAGGGCTAATCTTCCTCAAAAAAAAAAAAGACTAAATTTTTGAAAACTTACTGTTGATGGTAAATATAAAAGGAAATATGTATACATATATATATTACATATATAGAAATACTTATTTGTATTTCAGTAACATATTTAAATTAAATCATATTTAATATTGTCATAATATTTAAAAACTTAACTGCCAAAATACCTTAAATTTGTCAAATTTAGAAATGTCTAAAGTTCACCCAGGAAAGATGCCTTTAATTTCCCTTACCCTAAATAGGGTATCAAAAGTGAAGGAATAAAATGTGCTCTACGTATGTCAAGAATAATTTTCTTTTAGAAACTATTGTTTCCAATATAAGTTATTACAATAGTGTAAGTCTTCTCTAGTTGTGGTAGTATATTGGAAGAATAGAAATCTAGTTCTGTTCTTTCCAAACACTTAGTATATGTACTTTGTGTTGGCCTAAAAAAGTCAATAAACACTGCCCCTGTTTCCTACCTAGGTGTGTAAATTGAGAAGGAAGCAAGGAGTAGGACAAATCCAAAACTTGACCTTTGCTGCTGATAGAGGCTTCATGGAGGACATTGCTTAGTGTGAGAGCGAATGGTCCAGCACTGCACCCCAGAATTAGAGAAGTCTGTCCACCAGTCATGGCAGCACTGGACCAGGATGGGCCTCCCTGGGCACTGGGCAGGGCAGAGCCTGAGGGCTTCTCTCTCGAGCTGCAGAACAGACCTCCTGCTCTTGGCCGGTTGACTCTAAAAGAGGAAAAAGTTAAGGGCTGCCTTTGACATGTCCATTTATTCTTCCTAAATATACGAATCATATAAATCCTCCTGCAGCTTCCCAAAAGTGATGAATGAGGAGAGAGAGAATCCAGGAATCAAAACGCTAATGAGGCTGGAACTTAAAAGGAAACTCGAGTAGGTTAAGAAGTGTTTCTAGGCATAGTTTGAAAGTCACTATCCTTTGAGAGCTAACTTTTTAAGTGTATCAGTGCAGAATTTAGAATTCCTATTATTACTCTAGAATGTTGTTTTCATTGTTTTTTTAGTCCTAGATAAGAGATTACCTACTTAGGCCAGAATTCATGAGGGAGCAATACATGCTAAGGTGTTTTATTGTCATAGACAATGTTGTGACTTTCACTGATTTCATTAATAACGTTTACTGATTTTCACAGGACTTAGATATTGATCCAAAAGATGCAAATAAAGGGACACCTGAAGAAACTGGCAGCTATTTAGTATCAAAGGATCTTCCCAAGCATTGCCTCTATACTAGACTCAGTTCACTGCAAAAGTTAAAGGTGATTCCTTTCCCTGTTCATAACTACTAATGGAAAACTTCATGAAAGTGGAAATTCATTTTGGCACATGAACCTTGTATTAGTCCCTAGATGTGCTGCTTCACTGAGTATTGGATTAGCGCAGAGATAACTGATGTACAGTGAGTCTTACCAGTGACGCTTTTCATATCGTCTTCTGTCCCTGATCCTGGGCTGAGGATTTTTGCCAGAGAATGTATGTGATTACTCTCCATGTTGCGAAGTTTGAGAGAGAGAGCATTGTCTACTTTTAGATATCTTAGCATTTTCAAATAATCATTACCTACTTCTGACTTTCTACAAAACTTAGCAAATTAGAATTGGAATTTATTTTGATCTTTTTTCATTTCTCATTGACTTACAAATCAGAAACTACTTCTGTATGGTTGAGCTTTCTAATAAAAGTATATCCTTGTCAAAGTTGAGTTTTTAATTTATTTATAGCTGCATGACGTTAGAATGTATCAGCCAAAACTTGGGGAATGAAGTGGGCACTGTTGACAATTACACGAGGACAACAGACGTAAACCTGTTGTCACCCTGTTCATAGCAGTCTACTGGCAGTCTATTTCTATCTTTGAAATTCAGTCCATTATCTTATTTCGATTATACTTCTCCACCTATGATTGTGGATTATTGTTTCATGGTATTTTAAAAACAGCTGAACTTTGACCTAAATGTAAAGCCAGATTCTTGTTTCGTTAAAGAATCATTCTTCATCTCCAGTAATAGGGAAGGTGAGTTCCCCACGCCCCACTGCTTGGAAAATACCTTTCTACCGTTTACCAGGAATACAATACAAGATCTCCATGATTTTGACTACTTTCAGTAGTAAGAACTGGAATGCTACTAATTCAAAGTATTGAATAGGGGAAAAGGAAGGCCTTTCTTAGTGTAGGGAAGGTGTGTAAAGGATGCCTTGAAGTTTGGAACCTGGAGAAGGGGAGCAAGAGTGGAGTTTTGTTGTTGTTTGGTTTTGTCTGTATTTGTGTGTATGAATAATATTTTAAGATTGATGTACTTTCACAGTTGATAAAAATAACAAACTTATTTCTTTACCTTTTCAGGAGCATCTCATCTTCACAGTATGTTTATCATATCAGTACTCAGGATTGGAAGATACTGTAGAGGAAAAGCAAGAAGTGAATGTCGGGAAACCTCTCATTGCTAAACTAGACATTCATCGAGGTTTAGGAAGGAAGACTTGCTTTCAAACTTGTATCATGTGTAACGGCCCTTACCAGAGCTCTACGGCCACCTCAGCAGAAGCTGGACGTTATCATTCATCTCAAGACTCATTCCATGGTGTTTACCATTCACATCTTGGTAACTCAAGTAATATTCTGCCATCAGACAGTTGTCGTTGCAGCCGGACTGCAGATGCATTTCTTTCAAGTCATCATACCCATCAGTATTCATGTCAGTTTGGTAGAAGTAATATGCCAGTAGAGACGACTGATGAAATACCATTCAGTTTCTCTGATGGGCTCAGAATTTCTGAAAAGTGACCTGCTTGTTTTTGAAAGTCATGGTAATTACGATGCCTCATATGCAACAGTACTTATATAAAGTGAGGTATTGTGAAAAAGCAAATATGTATATATAGAGAGAATGAATAACAGCTGTTTCATGGCAAACTCAGGACTTTGAGATGTTGGAATTATATTATTTAACCACAGACAACTTCCTCCTCTTCTTTCTCTTTTAAAATTTTGTGAATTAGTTGATTTATTCTCTAAGAATGGAGGTGTATTCTCTAAGTATGGATGTGTATATGTTTATGTGTATATAACAAAAATGCTTTCATTTTGACCACTCTGAAGTAATTAAAATGGGAATGGCATTATTGTAGAATAAGTCATTGTATTTCTAGAACCAGAGAAAGAACCGTGGTGATCATCAGGCTTAACCTAATTTTATCAGTGGGAGAAACAGATTGAGGCATCTTCTTTAAGTTAGAGCTGGCAACAGAACTGAGACCTCCAGATTTCTATTCCGGTGTTTATTCCTCTACTCACTGCCTTCCCAACAGGTTCTGAAACAGGTACTATTTTTGTAGATAGATTTAAAGATAGATATGTAAATATGCATATCTGTGTATAGTCTAGAAACGTACAAACTTTACTTTGTGATTATAGGACTTTACTGCAAATGTCAGTTAGGAGGTTTGTATATAAATCTTAGGTTGAACAGGCCGGAATTTCTTGTTCATAAGGTCGTTAAAGTACATAACAGGTGATGAAATGTTTGTCTATGTTAAAGCTAGACAGCAGGATAATTTTGCTACTGGATAATCTTGGTAGCTGCTTATCTGAATCTTACAAATGTTGGACACATCTTCCTTAATAATGTGTATTTTATTATTGAATTTTACTAGCCTTAGGAGATAATGTTATCACCTTTGGTTCTATCTAAAAGCAAGTTAAAAAGGCAACTGGCAATAACAAAGAAAAAGATTGAATTAATAATTTTAAAACAGCCCACAAAGAAAATCCCAGGCCCAGATGGCTTCACTGCTGTATTCTACAAACATTTAAAGAATTAATACCAGTCCTTTGCAAACTCTCCCCAAGAATAGAATAGGAGAGAACACTTCCCAACTCTTCTTACGAGGCCAATGTTACCCTGATAGAAAACCAGACAAAGACGACACAAGAAAACTACAGACCAATATCTGTTATGAATACAGACACAAAAATCATCAACAAAATGCTAGCAAACTGAATCCAGCAACATATAAAAAGGATTGTACACCATGACCAAGTGAGATTTATCCCAGGAATGCAAGGTTGGTTTAACATCCAAAAATCAGTGTAATATGCAAATAATTCTCATTATTCGCAGTAGTTATGTTCTGTAGTATCACAATGAATACTGAATTAGTGAATACAGAGCCATTGCTTCTAGGGGAAATGTGAGTGTGTGTGTATTTATACATATACACAACTCAAGTAGATTATAATCTTAAATCCTAAAAACAACTTATCCTGGTAGATTGTTTTCTTTATCTTAAAAAAGAGAAAATGAGGTTCAGAAGTATTAAGTGACTTGCCTGAAGCCACCCCACTAACAGGTGACAGAGTTGGGATTCCATCCCATCCAACTGGCCCCAGAGCTGCTTGCACTACACTGCCCTGCCCCCTGCCTTCTCCGTCCTCCGGTTGTCTCTGTGGGAGAGCTGAAACAAAAAGGCAAAGCATTGCCTTGTTTGACCTCGGCTGAGAACACGCACGTCAGAGATCGCAAAATTTTCACCAGGCTGCTCATGTCCGTGAATGATCGTAAAAGTGCTGCAAGTATTGATTTTGGGATTACGAATAAATGTTACAAATTGGCAAATTCACAAATACAGAATCGTGAATAACGAGGATCAACTGTACTATGTTCATAAAGGAGAAATTTACCATAATTACCACATTGTCTTAATAGATGCAGAAAAAGCATTTGATAAAATTCAGCACCCTTTCATGGTAAAAATACGCAAAAAACTAGGAGTAAAAGGGAACTTCCTCAAGATGATAAAAGACCTCTACAAAAAGCCCACGCCTAACATCCTACTTAATGGCGGCACACTGAATGCTGAAGACTTTCCTCCTAAGATCAGGAATAAGACAAAGATGCTCACTCTCACCAGTTCTACTCAACATTGTCCTTAGAGTTCCAGCTTAGGCAAGAAAAGGAAGTAAAGGGCAACCAGACTGGAAAAGAAGAAGGAAGACTGTGTGTATCCACAGATGACATGATCTTGTCATGTAGAAAATTCTAAGGAATTCATTTAAAGACTAATAAATGAGTTCCACAGTTGCAGGATAGATACGAGATCAGTATACAAAAATCAGTTTCATTTCTATACTAGCAATAAACATTCTGAAATTGAGATTTTTGAAAAGATCTATTTACAGTAGCATCAAGATGAACAAAATAAAACTACAAAACATTGTTGAAAGGAATTGAAGGAGACCTAAATAAATGGAAAGACATCTCCATTCGTGGATTGGAAGACTTAACATTCTAAAGATGGCGTGCTTCCCAAACTGTTCTACAGATTCAATGCAATTCCCATCAAAATCCAAGCTGGCTTTTTTGGGGCAGAAATTGACAAAATGATAAAATTCATACAGAAATGCAAAGGACCCCCAGCCAAAACAATCTTGAAAAAGGACAAAGTTGGAAGTCTCACATTTAGTAGATTTCAAAGCTTATTACAAAGCTACACTAATCAAGATAGTCTGGTACTGGCATAAGGATAGACAGAATATAAAAATACCATTGAGAGTCCAGAAATCCATACATTATGATCAATTGATTTTTGACTAGGATGCCAATACCATTCAGTGAGAAAGAGTAGTCTTTTCAACAGATAGTCCTAGGACAACTGGATAGCCACATGCTAAAGGACCTGTATCTTAGACCAATGCAAATTTTAACTCAAAATGAGTCATATACCTGAATATAAGAGCTAAAATTATAAAACGCTTACAAGAAAACAGAAGTAAATCCTTGTGACCTTGGACTAGCAATGATTTCTTAGATGAAACACCAAAAGCGCAAGCAGCAACAAGGGGGAAAAAATTGGAGTTAATCAAAATGAAGTTTTGTGCTTTAAAGGACACCATCAAGAAAGTGAAAAAACCCACAGAATGGGAGAAAATCTTTGAAAATTATGTCTGAAAAGGGACTCATATCCAGAATATATGAAGAACTCATAATAACAAGGCTATGCTAGTTCTTAATTATGGTCACTCCTCTGCAGTAACCAATCGACTGTGCAAAGAACTTTCTGATGATGGAAATTTTCTCCGTCTGCACTGTCCAGTATGGTAGCCTGTATCCCCATGTGGTCATTGAGCAATGGAAATACAGCTAGTGAGAGCAACTGGATTTTTTTTTTAATTTTGTTTTTAGTTTAAACAGTTATATATAGCTCGTGGCTTCCATATTCGACTGTGCAGCTGTAGAGGATGGGGCTAGAAGTTAGGTAGGGTAAGGGGACTTTGCCCTTTCACTTTATATTCTTCTGTATATTTGAATTTTTTTTAACTAAGCATGTATTATATTTATAATTTGTTAAAGTTTTTTAAAATAACTAAGAGAATGGTGCAGTTTTTGTCTTTTCTATCAGCCATGCTTTTGTTTTGTTTGACTCTCTTACACCAATTGCTTTGTAATATTAGCATAGGATTTATATACATCAGTGGAATTTCAGAAAGGTAACCTGTCGACGCCAATTACAATGTGAAGAAGAGATTAGGATAGTAAAGACTCACCTAAATCCGGAGCCAAATTTTTGATTCTGAGGAAGGGGGTGTTTTTCTGGAAAGTAACTTAAAAAATTATAAAGTAGCAATTATGAGTTACGTGTTTTCTAATAAAAGAATAATCAAATCTTGAGACATGAGATCATTTGAATATAAAACATTAAAATGTCCATCCGGAGGGGAACAGGTCCAATAAATAGAGGGCCACAGCCAAGGAAAGAAAGTCTTTAAAGAATGCTGACTCTGAAAAGGGGCATTTGCCCTTTCCTTTTTCCTCCATCTCCAATATTTATGGCTTTCCACACCTCTGACTTGCACATGAAGCAACAATGAGGTGGTCTCTTCAGTAATCACAATCTTTTTGACTTGTCAAACTCAGGAAATTCAGTGATACAGCCACAGCTCAGATAATTGATAAATTGACACATAGATTGGCACAAATTTAAAATCAAGAGGATGTCTGGATTTTTTTTACATAAAATTTTTTTAACAAAAGCCCTAATAAATTGTAAGTTTTTGCTGTTGTTTGGACATTCCTATGGTATTTACATACTAACATTGCTTTTAACTGTTAAGTGATGCCAAATACTCAGAATTTACACATTATTTTTGTGCATTTCAACCTGTTTTTCTCATTTGGCATTGCAAATTTTATCCAGGCCTAACTAAAATATATTTTTAATACTTTCCTGTGCATTATATAACTTTCTTATATTGATAAAATATTAGTAAAGAAAAATATACCCAGAATATGTGAATATTTGTACAAACGTATGTAATTTTTTCCCAATTTGACAGCATTAAAAATATTTCAGCATCAGACTCAAAGTTTGACTTTCCTGAGGTGGAGGAGTCTGAGTCAACTCCAGCTTTCACCACTAAATAGTGTGCCTTGAAGTGTGTTATTTCACTTGTCTGTGCTTCTATTTCTTTATCTGTAAAATGGGGATGATGATACAACATCAGAAGCTTATAATACTTTACAGGGCTGGCAGGACGAGGAAGATAATTCCTGTAAAGTGCCGGCTTTTTGAAAAGGATTGTCGTTCTTCAAATGTGGCTTTCACAAAACCATACCGGTCCATCCACCATACAGGGTGTATTATTTGTTATTAAGGTACTTCCTACAAAGTACTATAATAGCATTAGCAATGTAGCATCGGCTTATAAAGTAAATTGCAATTCAATTTTGTTCATTCCAAAATCACTTTTCAAAAAGCATGGAAATTTAATGTCACCACTTGTTAGTGTTATGTATAACGTGCATTATATCAACACACAAAAACAATTGATTAGCAGGGTTTCTCTCTGATTGGTGGGATTATTTGTCTTTGCTTACCTGTATGTTCCTGTTTTTATAAACTGAACAACTATTATATAATTTTCAAATATAGATATACACATTGTATAATGCAAATATGCTAAGCTTCAATAAATTTGCTTTTAGAATACATTAATTTTTCGTAAATGAAATCAAGTTTAAAAATGCACAGGACTTCATGGTTTTTTTTAATGTCACGAGTAACACACAGGTGCTTTTTTTTTTTTTTAAGATTTTCAGAGGAAATGTTCTTTTTTTTTCTTTTTTCTACTTTATTTCCCCCCCTCCCCCCCCCCCCGGTACATAGTTGTATATCTTAGTTGCAGGTCCTTCTAGTTGTGACATAGGTGCTTTTTATTCTGCCTGTTACAAAATAAGTAAATCTGAAGTAATTCCTAAAAATCTAAAGTAATTCCCACTTTTTTGCATCATGTTAAAAGCTGACCAGTATTTAAGTAGTAGAAATGGTTGGCTGAGTATTCCAACATTAATCAATTGCTAGCACCAGACTTTGAATATTTTTAAATTTTGAAACATTTCCAAAGTTAGAGAAAAGTTGCAAAACTAGTACAAAGAAGTCCCATATTCCTTCACCCTGATCCCGTAAATGTTAACATTTTTCCATGTTTTATCATTTTGTCTCATAAATGTATGTGTGTTTTTAGGTGTATCTGCATACATATATATGACATTTTTTTCCTGAACTGTTCGAAAGTAGGTTACCCTTTTGCCCTTAAATACTTGTGTATATTACCTGAAAACGGGAACATTCTCCTACATAACCACAGTACAACTATCAAGATGATACTTGGGAATCCAGAACCTTCCCCTACTGTATCCTGCACACCAGCAGCCAGGGTGCTAACCTTATGTGTTCCCTTCCCTCAGGGATGGCTGTCCAGTGCTCCTTGTCCAATATCTAAAAACTATTGTTTCAGATATTTTGGTGACTTTCTGGTGGTTTGAGGTTGGAGAGTAATTCCGGTCCTATCGTTACATTATGACTAGAAGTGTACAATTGCAAGTAATGTTTTAAACTAATCACGTATTCAAAAATAATTTTGGATTAATTTGTGTATATTGCAAGAAACTGACACCTTTCTGGGCAAACTATTTCCCTTCCTATTCACTATTCCACCCCAAACCTGACTTTTTAAAATGGAGCTTGCTTCTACTCTTTTAGTGGAATAAGTGCTTCATCACTATTACCGCATAAATACATGGGAACTTAAGATGTTGTAAACGTTTATGCAAAGGAAGGAAAGCAAATAAGCCTTTGGGGTGGGGCATGTCACTCTCTCTGTGGTAGGTACACGCGTCGCACACACAATCTCATTGAACTTAGCCTCGCAATTTACAGATGAAGGAACAAATTGTTAGGCTAACCCAAGATATTAATTTACCCTGGATAACCCAACTGGCAGGTGGCAGAGGCACGATGATTCGAACCCAGAACAGAGCCCATTATTTTTTCCACAGTGCTACTGATTATTAGCCAATAATGAAGACACGCAATCATTGTTGAATAATGTTGAATCAATGCAAAAATGATATAACATTAAATGCTCATATTTGGTGGAGTATTAAATAAAGATCATATCTAAGAGATACAAGTCATTGAAGTTTGCAAGAAACCATCCTACTGTGAAAACAGAAGGAATGGCATCTTTAATTTGATAACTTGCTCTCGGTGTTTTTCCAACACAGCAGAAAAAGAGCCAACAGTGATTTCTGATGACTTAAAATGTGTTAATAATGTGGCTTAACATTTCATTCTTCTAAAAAGAATTTTAAAATATTAAAACATTATTCTTAAAGGAGAAAGTAATTTATCTTTAAGTGTGAAAGTCACAGATCACGCTCCAAAAATTTCCAAAGGAGTTGACCTAAAGTTAATAATGTTGCTATATTATGCTTAGTAGAGTTCTGACATGGAAAGGTGCTAAAAAAATATATTTTTAAAATACAGTAGTCCCCCACCTTATCTGCAGTTTCGCTTTCTTAGGTTTTGATTACCTATGATCAACGAGATCCAAAAATATTAAATGGAAAATTCCAGAAGTAAATCATAAGTTTTAAATTGCAAGCCATTCTGAGTAGTGTGGTGAAATCTTGCTCGTCCCGCTTCATCCCTCCTGGGACATGAATCTTCCCTTTGTCCAGGGTCTCCACACTCTACCCACTATCTGCCTATTAGTCACTTAGTACCCCTCTCGGTTATCAGATGGTAGTATTGCAGTGCGTGTGTTCAAGTAACCCTTATTTTACCTCATAATGGCCCCAAACCCCAAGAGTAGTGATGCTGGCAATTCAGATGTGCCAAAGAGAAGCCATAATGTGTTTCCTTTAAGTGAAAAAGTGAAAGTTCTCGACTTAACAAAGAAAGAAAAAAAATTGTATGCTGAGGCTGCTAAGATCTATGGTAACTTTTATTACAGTATATTGTTATAATTGTTCTATTTTATTATTAGTTATTGCTGTTAATCTCTTACTGTGCCTAATTCACAAATCAAACTTTATCATAGGTATGTGTGTATAGAAAAAACAGTATATATAGGGTGGGGTACCATCTGAGATTTCCTTATCCACTGGGGGTCTTGGAATGTATCCCCCACGGATAAGGGGGACCACTTTATTTTTGTAAGTTTTACTACTTCCAACTTTGTGTAGAATGGTCATTACCACATTACAAAGATTTAGTGTCTTCCCTAAACCCTGATAATTTTTTAAATATATATCTTGTATGTACATCTATCCTCCTGGCCGCCAGACTTGGGTTCTGACATTGTCATCTGGCTTTGGTGTCCTCTGTCCTGTGCCCCAGCTTGGGTAAGTGGCTTTGTTTCCCTCCCCAATTTCCTGTTCTAACAGTTGGCCTCACACCAGAATCCAGTGGTTTTCAAACTGTTCAGAGTGGCTGCTCGCTTGAAGGATGGGACTGGGGCTCCCCACCTCTGTTTCATCGAGAGCAACTCTGCTTTTATCTGTTTTACGTACTGCCTTTCCAAGTGCTTCGGTTTGTGTAAAAAAATCCTAAGCTAAAAATAACAGTTCGGCTCCTCTCTCACTAGACCCCACCATTGCTTGGGGATCCTGCCCTCACACACACAGCCATTCCTCATACCAGCCGGGTGACCTTGGGCAGACTATGGTGCTGTGAGGGCGTCTCGCCTCCCCGTTAAAGGGGGCAGTTCAGAAGGCCAGTCAGTCTGAGCTGCTGATGACAAGTAAAGGCCATATGAGCAGGTACTGACCAGCAGTTTTGGCAAAGAGCACAGAACTTGGCCCTTAAATCAACTGTCATTCAAGATGTGACTTGCTGGTAGGAGTTATTAACAAGGCAAGACACCATCTGATATCTTCCCATTTGAATCAGTTATTGCTAACAAGGTATTAAGTTTCTTAAAACCTGATTTTACATTTTGGTGTCACCTGACCTAGTTGTGGTCCCGAGAGGCGCACGGTTTCGAGGCACACACTGACAGGCCCCCCAGCAAGGCAAAGTGTGCTTGTTGGAGAAGGTCAGGGGTGTGGTACACTGGGTCAGCACATGCGTGCATGCCCTCCCTGGAAGCACACCTGTGTGGAAGGCCAGTTCACAGTCAAAGGCGTTTTTGTAAGTGTGATGGGAACAAGGGGAGGCACTCGGATGAATGTAGTGGTCAAGGACGCCAGGATAAGATGACGCAAATATCTGTCTCATCGGCCAGCCTTGCCAATGAGCCTGGAACGCTTCCAAGGCAAGAGTCGCTCTGTCCTGGACAGCACCCAGAGGGCACTGCCAACATCTGCTGCCAACGCCCGTTCTGGCAGAGGTTTTTCTTCCCCAGTAGTATACATTTGACCAGCTTGCAGACTTGCCTTGCTGGTCTGGGAGCCATTTTAACCACATCAGCTGACTTAACACATCTCAGGTCTGACCCACGCTGTGTCCAGGTCACGGTGTGACTCTTGGGCTACCATTTCCCTCATTTCTAAGTCCTCACTCTTGTTGACAGCATGTGACCAACAAGGGTAACCAAGGCTCAAGCTGAGGCTAGCCAGCAGAGAGAGTGGAGGGCTGCAGAAATCGCACAGTTATTAGATAGCATTGATTTTGTCCATAGACTGAAAAGAAAGTCAACAGATAACGTAGTGAGGAAGGGTAAGGAAGACTGTTCACAAGGTCCTGCTCAGCTGAGCTGCACGGCCGGCCCCCTGCTGGCGAGAGGTGGGAGGGAGGCATGTCTGTTTTCCGGTGGGCAACATGGGCAGCTGGCTTTCAAAAGGCCTCTGTGAAGGGAGGCTACTGAGGTTGGCCCACACTGAGCGGGAGCTCACTGACCAGATGCCAGAGGGTCTGGGGTCACCAGGCAGCCTGGAGCCGAAGCTCCCTGGGCCTATCTCCAAAAATGCAATCTGAGTGGGGACAGAAGGGCTGTGAGAGATGAAAGGGCAGTTGCAGGACCTGTTCCTCCAAGTTTCACATCTGGTCCAGAGCATGCAAAATGTTCCCCCAGTCAATGCTGCTGCCTGAGTCTGAGGAAGCTCTGATCCCATCCTCAGATGCTTGGGGCTCTTAAGTGGGAAGACTTGGGAGTCTGCAGAGTCCCCTGCAGGAATTGGTGACACAGCCCCTGAAAGGAGAGGATTTCAGAGAACCTCTATTCTTGAAGGCGGAGGCACCAGCAGACCTGTCACCCAGCTCCTCTGACAAGCCCTCCGAGTCCTCAGCATCTGAGTGCAGGGCCACCTCAGGCAGCTCCTTGCTGGTAGATGACGAGCAGGGGGCTCGAGTAGAAGCAGCAGGACTCCTGTCACTGCAACACTGCCTTGAGCTCCACCGGCTTCTCAAGCACGGGGCCCAGGAGCTCACGGCGCAGGTGTGCCCATTGTGGAAGAACTGGAACAGCGCCTCCTTGAAGCCCTCCACTGACAGCCTCCATCCTTAGTACTTGTTCACGAACGTGAGCTGCTCACTGCCTGCCTGGTACACCGGCATGACACACAGGTGCACACCAGTGACCACAATGTGCTCTGCTGGCATTGGTGCATCCAGCTGGTGCCTTCTCCTCGGATGCATGGTCACCATGCTGGCATGTACCCCTCTAGAGGTCCAGGACACAAGGCACCCCGTGGCGGGAAGTCAGGTTCTCC